GTCCTTGAGGCTCAAACACATACTGACTCAGCATGTGACGAGACTAGCCAAGAAGGACTGTGATCTTAGACCCCGTCTAATGAAGATAACCTTCCCATCTTCCCACATGGCGGCTGCAGTTCTGGAAGCATTTCGTACCAATAGACGTCGATTGCCACCTGGAATCCACATTCACCCGGATAGGCCATACGAAGTCAGGACCAATAACAAAGGCAAGTTGGAGCTGACCATTCCACTTGTGGACTGTCTAAACGATAAAAAAACGTGTAAAGGACAGGGCCTACCACCTCGGCAAACCTCACATAGGTGGGCTACCTGTCCATTCACATAAGGTTCATACAGAAAAACAGGACGAAGCTCACGCGTTCCAAATTGAAAGCATAAACTGCTTATATATGAACGCCGCGAGTCTACCAAACAAACTGGATGAACTACGTGAACTTAGCAACGCTAGCAAGGCCCATCTGATAGGAATATCTGAAACCTGGATATCTTCTCAGTTCTCGGACCAAGAGTTAACATTGCCTGGGATGACTTTGTTCCGCAACGACAGAAAAACAGGAATTGGGGGCGGAGTAGCCATATACATAAGCTCTTGCTTGGAGGTGCACCAGGTTCACAACCTCGAGTTTAACAATCTTGAGGAATCCATATGGTGCTCTGTAAGATTGTCTAGTACTTCCAGGTGTCTAGTCGGAGTCATTTACAGGAAGCCAACTGCCGACACCGAGTACGATAGTCGTATGCTGGAAGGACTATCCCACTCTATCCGTCTCGGTTTCACACACATCCTGATTCTAGGGGACTTTAATCTCCCTAGAGTCAACTTCGCGGAACACACGTACACTGGAGGCGACAACTCAACTGAAGCTCGGTTCTTCAACCTCATCGATAACTTGGGCTTATATGAAAATGTAAGGTCGGCAACTCGTTGGAGAAATAGTCAGGCACCATCGCGCTTAGACTGTGTATTAACAAACGAAGAATTCCTAGTCGACAACCTCTCAATCCTGGCTCCTCTGGGAAAAAGCGATCATGCCGTCATAGCCCTCAGTTTTGTCATCAAAACTAAGCTAAGGTATCCCAACAATAATTTGCGTTGGAATTTTAAACGGCTGAATGTGCCAGCTCTACATGACTATCTACAACAGGTGGTTTGGGATGTTCACCCTCAAATCGATGTGGATGGTCATTGGGACTTCTTACTGCACACGCTCTTATGTGCTACAGACCATTCAGTTCCTCAAACGGTTCCCAAAAGCTTCAAGCCACCTACAGTTATCAAGAACCGTACCCTTCGCCTCCTAAGCCGCAAACGGCACTGTTGGGCGGAATACAAACGAACTAATAACGATGGAGTGCATAGGCAATACAAACATATCAGGAACACATGCACGAAGGCTATAAGAGAAGACAGGCTTCAGTACCAAACAAAGCTTATGGACAAATTCGCCTCTAACCCTAGAAGCCTATTCCGTTATGCAGCCTCTCTTCGTCAAGCCAAAACAGGAGTTTCTCAACTGCTAGGTCTTAACGGCCCAACCAACAACGATGGCGACGCCGCTAACCTTCTGGTGACCCATTACTCTCAAACATTTCAACCGGCTGACATCAACTTTATTGACGACAGTTTCATTTCCAACTCCACAGGACTTTCTGAAGTGGACCTAAGCGCTGACTTGGTGTTCCGGAAATTGCAGCACTTAAGACTTGACACTTCTCCTGGCCCGGATATGGTTCATCCTGCCATACTGAGGGAGGCAGCCTCAATCCTGGCAACGCCGCTTAGCGTGATGTTTTCACACTCGCTTAGCCGAGGCAAATTACCGGAAAACTGGAAGTTGGCTCACATCACACCAATTTTCAAAGGTGGTCGACGCAATGAACCTTCAAGTTATCGGCCGGTGGCTCTTCTGTCATTACCTTCAAAACTCATGGAGTCCCTGATATGCGACGGTTTAAATGACTATCTACTGTCCTTAAATTTCTTCTCACCCCAACAGCATGGTTTCAGGAAGGGTTACTCTTGTATAACCAACCTGCTGACTGCGGTGGACAAATGGACAAGCATCCTCGATTGCAGGGGAAAGGTTGACGTCATTTACCGTGATTTCTCAAAAGCTTTTGATAAGGTTAACCACTTGTGTCTTATCAACAAGCTCAAACGACTAGGTATCAAACCACCTCTAATCGATTGGCTTACTTCATACCTAAAAAATCGACACTTTAAGGTTAGGGTTAATTTCACTTTATCTCAGGCTATGGAATGTCCTAGTGGGGTCCCCCAGGGCTCAGTACTAGGGCCTCTTCTCTTCTTGATCTACATAAATGATCTTCCTCAACAGGTAACGTCAGACTTATTACTTTTTGCCGACGACGTGAAACTTTGGAGAGAGATACGCAACCAAGACGATACACAGGCACTTCAGGAGGATCTGACGCGACTTCAAAGTTGGGCAGACGATAACGGACTTACCTTTAACACTTCAAAGTGTAAAGTAGTCCATCTGCGACATGTCGCAAACTACAGTTACAACTTAGGAAACTCCTCTCTAGTAGTATCCCAAGTCGAAAAAGATTTAGGAGTCCTGGTGCCCCATGACTTAAAGTCTTACGCTAACTGTGACAAAAATGCCTTCCGAGCAAACCTTGCACTGGTAACGTTGAAGCGCATTTTTGGAGAGTTTGACGGACGAACTTTCCATACAATCTTCAATAGTTTCATCCGTCCCCATTTAGAGTACGGAAACATAGTACTCCCCCCTCACTCCAAAAGGACAAGGTCACTTTGGAGCGTATCCAACGGCGAGCCACGAAATCAGTTCGAGGACTCAAATCTAAGCCTTACGAAGAACGCCTCCGTTCACTAGACCTTTACCCACTAGAATATAGGCGTCTTAGAGGTGATTTACTAATGGCTTATAGTATTCTTAACACTTCTGGACATCCTCTTAAACACCTACTTAAGCTTAGTTCGAATAATAACCTAAGGGGTAACACCCAGAAACTGGAAACACAACATTGCAAGACGGAATGTAGACACAACTTCTACTCCTTAAGAGTTGTCAAAAGCTGGAATTCGCTGCCGGCCGAGCTAGTCCAAGCGACTTCTCAGGAGTCCTTCAAGAGGCAACTTGACCTATTCTTAAGGACCAAGGACAGCATCACATTATGATTTACCAATTTCTTTTCCTTTTTTATTGTTAACATACCTAGGTTCCTGCCTGGAGGATTTGGTGATCCCCTGGTACTAGACACGGAAGCCTGTTAAGCGAAAGCTTCGTCTATTGCGTCCACAACCATTTAAACCATTTGAACCACTTGATTTGCGCGCTCTGTTTGGAGATGAAGTTACTTTCAGACGTGGTGCTTCGGAATTTTTGTAGTGTATTGTTTTCTAGCACCTGATATCAGTAAGCCATTATTTAAAAAATTGGATACCTATGTGCACACTGCAGGGCATTATTCTACTTATATGCACTTCACACATAGTGGCTATGTAGCCATATTTATATATATGCTGCTATAGTTTATCGAGCATATACGAACAGCGTTCAGTGTATGAAAAGTCGATTTGAAATGGTTAACTCTTCCTAGAACTATACAATCAACTCAAAAACATCAGTCCGATTTATATGGTCACATATGTAGGTTGCTTACACATATACCGGATCTCCTAAGAAAAGGTTGTCGGTAATAGGAAGCAACCAAAATAAGAGAAATTCATGAGTCATTGAAATAAAAATCAAAATTTAAGGTTAAGTGTCATAGGGGTAGATTTCCGGTTTCTGTCAGTATTTGTTTTAACTTTGATTTTTGTCCTCATCAGTTCGTTTTGATTGCTATATGAAACCCGATCAGCCTACTGCATAGCGATGAAAACTGGGAAACTGGTCTTTTGATCATCTTAATCAAACCAAACATGTTTCTAGTGACTTTCCATCTAAATGCGAAATATTACTTCAGGATTAGTCTGCATCAGTGCCTAAACTGGTCATACAGAGATGGGCAGTTGAGAGCGTAAATCAATTAACTTATCTTGGAAGTCCCTCTAACCTTGGTGCGTTGTTGTGTAACGAATTCAAAAAGCTTCCCCGACCGACTTACATCACTCGTAGCGTAGATAAAATGTCTTTATGCTGTACAGCAGTTTTCTCCGTTTTACCCTTTGACTATGTAAAATATTAGTGGGTTATTAGTATTTGATCATAGATGCCTTCGAAGGATTGTTCACCTGTTTGAGTCAAAAGGTAGAATGCTGAGATTGGATATAGGGCACTGGGTAAAAATGTCAAATCGGTTGATAAGTTAATGAATCTTCGTTGATTGAGGTGATCAAGATTGCGTACCTGGACGCGCGATACTTGCTGGAGTAGAAACGAGTTTGAAAAAACTAGTGTCTAGACCAGGACGTGAATCTGGTCTATGAAAACACTATCTTACTGAACCTTATAGAGAGGTGCAAACTATCAGGTCGAGATCTGCCCGCTTATTGTAACCAGTATTTAAAGACGCCTAGTGACATGATCCGAAGTTATAAAATTATTTTGTACCCTTTGTTCTTCCACTTATCGTTAGTCATATTTTCTATACCCAGTGTTTTTTCTGTCACTGATACTTTTAATTATACTACCTTGGTATTCATTTTAGTAATTTCGTCCCGTTGTAGTGATGTGGTGTTGAAACTTGTACCGATAAACATTTGTGTCAGGTTTTACGATGCTTGTGACTAACAGGGGATTTGAAGTCTCGGCCATGATCCATATTTATCATATGAGTACTAATACAAGTGTCTGGTTGCCAAAATCTTGTTAAGCACATTCAGGTACGATAAGCATAACGTTAGTTGAGCACTGTTGAGAACTGTTAAACTGTACCTGGATATTCAAGTTCTGCAACATTTGCAAGAAACAGTTTGTTGTATTTGGTTTTCTTCATTTTATAGGTTTACGTACTGTATCAAACAGTGAAATTTTAAGAATGAATCAAAGTAAACTAGAATGACGCGCATTTGTTGTACATTTTGTGATATGTGCTTCGGAAAACCATCTCGACTTGAGGCACATCTGAGAATCCACACTGGAGAGGTAAAACATATTTCAAGTTACTTTTAAATAACGAGACCATTACTAATTGATTCTTTTTCAAAATGTTTTTACCCAGTTTCGAACATTTTTTTAACGCTAAGTGATTGACAGCTGTTGAGATTATAGCTATGGCAATACCGTTTAATAAAAAAGTAGTTTGAAGCACTAAGCTTTGAGCTACATATTTTGTCTCTGATTAGAGGTACCACCTAGTTTAGTGATATGAAATCGGCTTTAAGATTCGCCCAGGTTGGTTAGTTATCAACACTTATTACAATCTTAAACAATCTAACAGATTTTCTTATTATATCCTGTGCGTCATATCTGTACTATCAGTTAACCAGGGTTGTAATATATTTTATACATCATACATTGAGAGTTCGTCGACAGATATTCCTTTCATAAATGGTAAATTTTGTCTTAAGATCTGGTCTTTGAGCTAGATATTTATTTACATTTCGACTACTTTTAGGACTACCAAATCATCGACACATAGTGAAAACTAGTTCTTGTCTCGCTCTGTACGAGTCCGCATTAATTCTCAGAAATGCTTAATTCATAAAACCCTATTAAAAATGTACATGAAACTCTTCATAACAACATATGTATTCCATCCATTGAATGTACGGTCTGAGTCCATGGAAACTAAGTTTAATAAAACCCGGAGTACATCAGTTTTTGTCCTTTCAGTATATTCTTAATTTATTGGAATGTGTTTGTCTCACCTCCATCCTCAACATCCATAAAACTCTTCAGAAGTTAGGCTCTTTAGCTTTCTCGTTTCAAGTTTTACTAGAATGGTCTGTTCCAACGGTGTTCCTAAATACAGTTCACCGATGACCTTGTAGATAGTAAATTGGCAATTTGAGAGGGCTAAGGACCTGACAAATTCCATATTCTCATCAACTGAAGAGCTTGGTGATCATCTGGACGTCGTTGTAGTCATCATGGCTCTTACGGAAACTTTTGGTCCACTTGAAACAATTTATTTTATTGATTGTTATCCCCGTAAACCTCTTGATGTTTCATTGCTTTCCCCATAGTCTTTCCCAAGTTCTACCATTTCAGGTAAGTTCGCGTATTTAGTCAGCAAAGTGGTTACACTTACATATCTTAACACCTGTGAATTTTTATCTTTCTAATCTGATGCTAAGATATGTCAGGAATACTAGCTGACAGATTTATTAATCTGGCATTATTGTGTAATTGGTTTACTGAGCAATTGCCTCGTTTTATCAGTACACCTAGAGGAATTTACTGTGCTTTCGACTATTACTAAAAATTGCTGTTATTGAGTCTTATCTATACAAAATACCATTTAAATCAGAATTATCCCTCGATGTGTCTGTACGAGATTTCCAAGTGATATCGGCTTGTTTTCTTATTACCTTGGTAAACCTATGACTTGTTCTTAATGAATATGTTTTCGTGATATCCCAATGAGTAGAAAATTGTATTTCTGACGTTTCGCGACTTAATCTAAGCCACTTTTTTCAGAGTGAATAAAATGACTTGTTCGTTTAGATCTTCAACTGCTAACTTCTGTATAATAGGTCTAAATCTTACTCGGAAGAATAATACCGCTTATTAATAATCTCGGTTTTCTCCACATGGTTTATGTAGCTCATCCTAGTGTGCTTTCTCATGGTTGCTAATAATCAGTTTTTGTGAATTGGAGGTGTTTTAAAAAGAAATGTGTCTACCTTCATTTTTCTTAATTTAACTGGTAAAAAACAGGTAAATGTGCCCTAACTCTGCATTGAACAATAATCTAGGATTTATATGATGTTAGTCGGCTCTCCCTCTCTAAGTGCTCTCACATGGTCACGCGTATACAGCCACTGCCAAGGTAATCCTACCCACCGCCTTCTCTCAGCGGGGATGTTTACGAAATTGAGAGGATGAAAAGCGAATGCCCGGCACTTTAACCGTGTTGGTGGATATAGAGGATCCACCTAGGTGAGTTGGAAAACCCTAATTCCAAATCAACGGTCCACATGGACTTCAGTATCTTGAAGAAACACATGGCGTATGAACCAATTATTGGTCATCGGCTACTATGGGATTGCATCTCCTGACGTTACTCCACTGCCTTATGGATCAGATCTTTAGGTCTAAAACTCCGAGTGTGGCCCCATAAAAAAACCACCTGCTTCGGTTTGGGAATCCGGGTAGTATCACAGCCTACACACAAATTAAGTGACTTGTGTGGTGCATATGTACTCGGTGCCCTTTCGTACCAACATTTGTGTTCAAATAAATAAATAAGTTAATACCACTTTGCATATGCTAAGGGCTTTTTCGATTTTATGTCTAACTAAGTTTGATTTGTATGCTATGCAGTTAGATTACAATAAATTAAACTCCCTGTTTGTAAAAATCAAATAATATTTTCCGAGCTTTGTGACGAATCGCACAGTGTCATTCAATAACAATAATTTCGCCAGTTTTTCTTATGCTGAATGTCTGTTTAGTTTTCAAAATAACTAGTCTAGTTGGCTTCCGAAATAGGAAAGTAATTAATACTGTTTAAACTACATTTTCGTGCCCACTCATGATCATACTACAGGTCATTTATAACTTTATGAGTAGTTGATGGTTAAACTGTTCAATCTTTATCCATTTGATCGTGTTTTACCTATTTCTGTTTGGACATTCGTGTTGTATAATAAAAAATAATAATTAATACATGTCGCGTTACGGTGACGAAATTCTTAATATACATCGGTGTGTGTGTTGGCGAAACCTGTGAAATGACTTAGTTCAAGTCATGTTCAGCATAGCATTCGTAAAGTTAACAAATCCATCTTTTCTCATTGTTCACTCCACTGCTAGCGTCCATATGTGTGTATTTGTGGTAAAACATATACACGGAAACAACATTTAACTCGTCACGCTTCAAAATGTCCCAAAACTATTCCAGAAAACAACTTATCTAATCAAAAGGAGCCAGCAAGAGTCGAAAAAACCTATTCGTGTTCACAATGTTCTGCTGGACCTTTTCAAAAAAAGAAAATGGTATCGGCTCATATGGCTACAGTTCATGGGTAGGTGCTACCATTTTTGTTTTGGTACTACTATTTGTAAAAAGTTCATTTTACAGTTATGTATGACCCTTATTCTTTTCTTATTTAAATGGTCTTCAACCACTGGATCAAAAATTAGTTTTCATTACCTACGTTAGTTTCAGGGGCTACACAGAAGTACCGATTGAATGAACTAAAGTGTCATGATTCACTCCTTCATGCACAATTCAGTATTCGGTTGCTAACAGTGTCTTAACTTAGTTTGTTCCAAGTTATGTTTGTATATAATCGTGGTGAGACTGTATTCAACTATTTAATATCCATGAGTACAATTAATACTATTTCGTTCTCAGAAAACCAGTGTAACCGTATGATTCGCTGCTTTTCCTTCTCACTTGTATGCCTGTAGTGGATTATCTTCGGGATAATTTCTATTACTTTCTATATCACTCATCTTGTTAACCGTTATTAGATAGCTCTCATCGGTGTATAAGATTGAATACAATCCATTGATGTTCAAAGCAGATCACAAGAGAATGAGTCGTTGAGCCATTTAACGTCGTGAGAGGGATATGCATACAGGCTGTAAAATGTGATCAACCATTGATGTTCATACAAACATGATGATAATTTTAAAAAGGTATAAATGAATTATTTCTGTTGGGATTGATAAGTCGTGTGGATTGGACGCTATATTAGTTTCCTAAGCTATTCCGGTAACCCGCAGTCTAGAACTACACAGCGATTTGAACACCAGAGAGAAGACACAAGTATGAGAGAAAATACTTTATCCCAAGGTTCATTTTTGTACAGAAAATCATAGGTATTTATAGTTGTTGGCGTCTGTTAAATCAACATCATATTTCAGCCAATCCGTTAACGACATCTTATGCTACCGACCAATAGTAGCACTCCACATTGGAATTCCAGAACGTTCCATCGTACTCTGATTGGCTAGGTCCCTTCGGCTCCTTTTGGGCCTCTGGAGGCTCCGTTGAAGTTCTCCGGAAGCCGACTCAACAGGGATTACACTGTCAAACATGTTAATTGAAGGGCTTAACAAAATTGAACGTCTACGGACTGAAGTGTAGATAAGGTGCTATATTTTATCGGGCAGTCTTAGGTACACTCCTTTTATCACAGAAACTTTTCCGGAAAAAATGTATTCAGTTAGTCCTAAACTATCTGTAAAAATGTACCACTGAGTCTGTGCGGTTATATTTTTCTGTATAACGTATTTTCAGTAAACACTGGATCAAATGTTTAAGCTAAAGACTGCAGTATTTTTCTCCAATGGAGGCATTCTTATAGTAGCAATTGTAAACTTTTAACTAATAACGTTAATAATAAATCTATTTTCTATTATATTCATGTGAGTAGATATAACCGAATTCGGTTAGTTATTTACTCTAGAAAAGTGGCTAACATTAAGTCACGAAAAGCCAAAAGTACAATTTTTCTATTCATCGGGATATAACAAAAACAATGTTAACAGTTTAGTTAATACAAATACAAGTAGAAAGGATTCCTTCAGTTCTAGAAGTTCCTATCACTTCTAGGAAGGAAGTTACAGAACTGCCGCAACTGGACTCTATTCTTAGTCATGTCTGGTAACATGTCAAACCAATGTGTTGCACTCTCTGTAGTATTTCGACTAGGGATTTAGCGGGGCCCAATATTTTGTCGTCACTTAGGTCGGACGATATTTGTCGATGGGCTCCCCACTTTAGTGGCCCGAGATCTGATTCCAATTAGATCGTATGAATGGTTGTTATTGAATGATTGCTGTTGAAATGTATATGTCGCCTATCCTCGTATATAATCATCGACTTAAATCGCGTTAGTCAATAACGAAATGGTGATCTAGCTTCAATTGACTCATGATTTCAACCAGTGGAATTAAATAAGTCAAATAACGAGAATGGACTTTTGAATACATATATTTTGTATATGAAGCGAATGGAATGGAACGTAGCAAAACGACGCGCAGTGAAGATGGCGGGTAAGCCAACTACATTTAGTCAAGCGTTAATCAATATTTATAGTTACACAAAAATAGGCTACAGACATGTAGTGAATAGGATACGAAGTGTACACACACATATGCGCTCATATAAAAAGAGTCATGATTGGTAAGCGAATAAATAACACGGTCAAAATATGACTCAAGTAGAATGAGTAGATTGACCTGTCTGAAAGCTAGAATAAGGTATATGGGCTTGACATAATAACCGACACTACAGGGAGTCGTGAGTTCGACAGATCCCAGTCCTGTACTGCTATCTTCCATATCATGACATCATATCATAAACTGGCCACCTCTCCTTTTTACAACGTGTCCTAGTCCCTGTAATTAATTCACGATGTAGGATTCGCTGGGATGTCATGGGGAGTGTCTCTGGTGTCACCTCATCATAAATGCTCATTTCGATTTGCGATCCTTTTAAATGTTGTTTGATGAATTCCGTTGTAAGCTCCCAAATTATCGTGCAAATGAGATCGCTATCGTTGATTAGTAGAGTGGTTGTGAACCTAGTTGAAGCTTTTCACACTCCATCTTAGAAGTTGACGGTGAGGAATTTTTGTAGTTTAATGATCACTATTATATGTCCAACTTGAATTGAACTGAGCTGTCGTCTAAAAACACAGGTGTTCAGGCCGAAAGTAATTGGGTATGTTTAACGCATCCTAACCGTTGTAGTTGATATACACACTTATAAGAGAATCAATTGATTTGTGATACTGTGAATCATCTTATCCAGGAAGTGGGAAACCTAATATGACGTTTCTTAATAAAACTATATATATATCATTTATTTTACATTAATACATTATTCAAGCGAACGGAAGCATGTATGTGACAAATGCGATCGAGCGTTTCCTACGGCATCTAAGCTTAGACGTCATTCATCAAAACATCATGGTTACACATGTAAGCTGTGCTTTGAACAACTATCTGAAAACCCTGAAAACGATGAATCAGTTGCTCTCAAACCCATTCATTTTGAAAGTTTTGCGTGTTTGAGACGCCATATTGCTGAAGCTCACCCAAAAACACGTAAGTTACTTGAACTTTTGTGCGTTTATTTACTTCACGAGGTTTTGTTGCTTATTACTTTGATATAATATATTTATGTTTTCTCAAAACACTAGTGTTAATATCATAGTTTACTTCCAATTAGCTACTCTTATATATTTTTCTTCTTGTTCAACTGTTTTGATGTTGCTTTCTCTCTAAGGTTGTGTTATAATTTCTCTTATTACGACCCAGCTATTCCCATTGCTTAGTATTCTCAGACACCAATTCACTCGACAAGTCCCCAAGTCAGAACACGGTTGAACAGGAATGAAATTATATTCCAAATAACAAGGGTAGATGGAAGTAGGAATGGCAAGAAGAAAAACGTTAGTATATTTATAGTTTTTACACGAGAAGATTCTAGGGTGTTCTTCAAGTCTCCGCTATCACTGAAGGGCTAGGAAATAGCCAATCAATGTGTCTGATCACAATCTTGCACGGAACACCCTTTAATCCAATCTATAGCCTGCCAACAAAAGCCATATATGGAGTGGTTACTTACTTCATGGCACCAAAGTTCCTTGCATAGTCCGAACTTCCCTCCCTTTAATTGTTGTTGTCGAAGTGTCTTTGAGTATTATTTGCTTGATGTCTCTGTATCATCAATCGGTTCATGTATCGGTTCAAGTATCGAACCGAGCTAGCCTCTAGGCTAGCTACCACTCCACCGAAAAGTACAGATGAGCATTGGTTGCAGTTGCATGACGCCATGAAAATGGCGGGTACAGTCAGTTGTGGGTTCGCGAAACGTCCCACTTACAAGCACTGGGTTTCTGCAGGTTCCTTATAATTCATTGAAGCCCGTCGGTCTACTCCGGGTGACCGTGAGTTTGACCATAAACGAAGGATGTTACGTAAGGAAATTGGGCAAAGCTTGCGTAAGGACCGAGAAGCCTGGTGGTCGAAGCGTGCTAATGAGCTGGAAGCAGCATCTGCATCTGGTAACTACCGGAAGCCCTTCCAACTCATCCGAGCCATTCGCAGCAAGAAGTCTGGTGTGAGTGAAACAATCTGCGAGGATGATGGGATGCCAATCACTAACATCCATCGACGTCTTGGACGATGGGCGGAATTTTTCGAAGGGCAGTTCGACTGGCCCGCTGCTCCGGCAACATCGGTCAGACTGTCCTGCCCTCCATGGACGGTGACGACTGATCCACCAGACGAGGAGGAAGTCCGCAAGAAACTCCAACTCTTGAAGCGTTACAAATCACCCGGCCCAGATGACTTACCTCCGGCTCTTTTTAAAGATGGTGGTGACTTTTTGACTAAGGAATTGACGACGTTGTTTACAAAGGTTTGGGAACTAGAGAGTGTACCAACGTCATGGAATGAGTCGATAGTTGTCCCTATCTTTAAAAAGGGTTCACGTCGTTCCTGCAACAACTATCGGGGGATAAGTCTACTTCCGATTGCGTCCAAGCTATTGGCTTCCGTCATACTTCGTAGGTTGTTCAAGACCCGAGAAAGATTGACTCGCGAGGAACAGGCTGGGTTTTGTTCCGGTCGAGGATGTATTGATCATATCTTCACCCTCCGCCAAATGTTAGAACACCGCCATACTTATCAAAGGCCAACAATCGTAGTGTTTCTTGACATCAGGGCTGCCTTCGATTTGTTGGACAGGGCTGTTCTCTGGGATTGTCTATTGAAGAAGGGTGTGTCTGAGAAGTTTATTAACATCCTAAAAGCCCTATATACAAACACCTCAGGCAGAGTGAGGGCATACAACCACCTCTCTCCATTGTTCCATTCGAGCAGTGGGGTTAGGCAGGGTTGCCCAATCTCACCAGTCCTCTTCAACCTTGCCATCGACGACATTCTGGAAACAGCTCTGATAGATGTAAGTAATGGCGGTGTGGATCTGTTGTCTGGAGAAAGACTTCTCGACCTTGAGTATGCGGACGATATTGTCTTACTGTGCGATAATGCCCAAGGCATGCAATCCGCACTTAATCAGTTGGCAATCAGTGTCCGTAGGTACGGTATGAGCTTTGCACCTTCGAAGTGCAAAGTACTTCCACAAGACTGGCAGGATTCCAATCCTGTACTCACCCTGGATGGTGAGCAGATAGACGTAGTCGAGAAGTTCGTGTATCTGTGTAGCTGCATACGTGCTGGTGATGGCATGAGTGATGAGGTCAATTCAGGTATAATAAAAGCCAGAGCGGCTTATGCCAATCTGGGCCATCTTTGGCACCTTCGTGATGTCAGACTGGCAGTAAAAGGTCGGATCTACAACGCGTCGGTGAGAGCAGTTTTGCTCTATGCTTGTGAAACCTGGTCTCTCCGAGTTGAGGACGTTAGACGACTCTCTGTGTTCGATCATCGCTTTCTCCGAAGGCTTGCTGACATTCAGTGGCAACACCATGTCAGTAATGTAGAGGTTCGGCATCGTGTGTTCGGGCACAGAGATGATAATTCGACTGGTGTCACCATTTTGAAACACCGACTTCGGTGGCTTGGACATGTTCTCCGAATGTCGTCCCAGAGAATTCCACGTCGTGCATTATTTGCCGACTCTGGGACTGGTTGGAAGAAGCGGAGAGGTGGTCGGTGTATGACATGGTGTCGTGGTATGAAAGAAAGCTGCAAAGGACTGGCTTCTGTCGGTCGTTCACGACTCCCTGGTTGGGGTCTGAGAGATGGTGCTACACAGTGGCTAGAGACGTTATCAGATATGGCTCAGAATAGAAGCCAGTGGCGATCCTGCTGTAACCTTCTTTTACTTTCTTCATAAAAAGTGGTTGTGTCTCCTTTACCTGAAAGATTTCTTCTGATTGTACCTTTTCGTTCCGTCGTTACTACCACACTACCTTACTCCAATCTCTTTGTTATTGTTCTCTTTTTTTCCGCTCCTTATCTTTTTTTCTATTTCTCTTCGAATTCTCATTGTTTTGTGTGGCGCATATATATTGGTGCTCTCTTGTACCAATACTCATGTGTTCAAATAATAAAATAATAAATCGGTTCATGATTTCAATCAAAAACCTAATAATCTCCACAACCCCTATACTGATATATAAATGTAATTCATTTGTTAAGTGTAGATTTATGTAGTTTGATTTGAACCATCCTACATGTTTAGGGTCTACTGACACTTTTTTTTCCTGGTTAGTGTTTGTTTAGCAAGGTTGTTTTCTACTGTTTGGGGTTGGTGACTCCGTACCCAACTCTCCTCCTTTGTATAGGCTTGTTACCAGCAGTAACCCTAGAATAGCTACAAAACAGACTTAAATTTTCTAAATTGATTTTTATGCTGATATTACTACTCATCTTTCCAAATCGAAGTAAGTACAGTGGTACTCAAACCTTGAACTTACTGGTTGAAAGCTGTGTACTTTAGTCATCAAAATTAGCAAAACATGTAAATTAAGAAAAACTTCAGACGATTTAGACTAAAAATAATGAATTTATTAGTATGCACAATTAGCCGTTACTACTATCGTTACTTCAACTGTATCTGTTCTTATTACATGACCATTTTTTTCACAGCTTTGCAATGTCCTTCTTGTAATATGCGTTTTACAAGACCTGCTGCACTAGCAGAACACAAATCTACACATACCCCTGGTGGACCGTCTGTAAGACGACGTTTTATTTGTCCTTTATGTTCACCTGATGTTACGGGTGATAAAGATGATTCCAACTCACAAGAAAAAGATTGTCTTGTTGCATTTACAGCCAAAAGAAATTTGGATGCTCATATGCGTTTAGTACATGCTAACCTTAAGTTTCCATGTACATGGCATGGATGTCCTGTTCTTTTGTCTACCAAAGTAAGTAGACATCTAGTATATTTTTAGCAGTAACATGTGTTTGCCTATTAGCTTGATACATAGGAATATTTTAGTGACAAAATATATTGTCATACAAAATTATTATTTGTTAACGTCTATTACTAAATCATATGTTATTTTATCAACTGCTTGTCCTTTATTTTTATTTGTCTTGAGAAATGATTGGCTAGTGTGCCAAGATAGATACGTTCGGCGATAGGAATGTCAGTAAATATGTGATACATAACTTTGTATTTGTATCTAACACTGTATTTTACTGCCCTGGATTTCATTGGGTGTTGTACTGATTTTCACTTTGCTAATAAGACACTGTATGCCTCATGACTAGATCTCAATCGTCCGTTGGATACTTTGTGACTTGAAGCACCATTTGATCTAGTTTTTGATCTTATGTATTTTTTTGATGATTCTATTAACTGTTATATTGCCTACCAAGTCGTACTGTCTGCTGGCAATTGCATGAATGCGAAATCCAGTTTATCGACGTTAGTAAACATTTTATTTCTGAATTTTTCCGCAATATACCTTTAGTTTGTTCGCTTTTTCAAGATTGAGTAATACTGTACATGTTTCTACGTATCTCAGAATATTTTTAAGTATATACACTCCAAATTAATATCTATAGAAAATGAAAACTAAGTCACCTTGATTCAGCGAACATCATTTTTAATGTTAAATGTTTGCAGCAACTCATCATCGTATGACTATAATTTAAAACCTTAAGAATTTTTCGTCTATCTACTTTGAGTCAATATATACACAAAAATACGATTTTCATGAATCTAAGCATTAGGTATTTTTCTCACCATTTCTCATAGCTTCCAGTTGCTACGTATACAATAGAATGTGATTCATGATTGTGTAAATTCTCATTATTCACTAGTTGACTAAGTAAGATCCATATGTCTCTTTAGGGCAACTGAGGTAATCTATGCCTCCCTTCATTGGCAGTTTTTTTAGTGAGAAATAATACATTTAAGAACTTGTTTTATTTATTAGTATTACACTGAGCTATAATCAAAGAGTTACGGACAGTCCTGAACCATGTCAGTAGGTGCGAACATCTATCTATTCCACATAAACTTGTGTCACAATGGCTATATCAATGTATTCCGCACAGTATGCACGTTTAACTACTAGGACTGATGAAATTTCAGTCAAGCTGTCGACAGTGGTACAGTCCAGAAGCATTCTAAATTTAACATTTATATTTATTCGACTATATTACTTATGAGTAGCTGAAAATTTTAATCTCACTTTTCCTTTCTTATTCTACGTGAGAAGTCACTTTTGTCTATTTTATGAACATAGTAAATATTCAATTCTATTTATTTCACCACTTTACTCTTTATTGGTTTCTTCCTCTTAATATTTAGCAAAAACTGAATGAACATATGGAACGTCATCGACTAGGCAAGTCAGTTGCTTTCAAAAGCCGAAATAGACGTAATTCACGTAATGATTCAAGTAGAAGATTTAATGATAATAAAAACTTATCAATGAATAATAATGAAGATTATTGGGAAACAGCTAGTCAAAATAGCATTATAGCACTGTTAAGTGATGTAATTGATTGTTCAGCTAATCAAATTTATTAATTTTTATGAAGTTAGTTTCATTATTGTATATAATACTATTTCGAACTGAATAGAACAAGAAGAAAGGAAAACAGATATGTAATTAGAAATTTACAGAGTATTTATATATTTTATTTATATTTACATATGTTTTCAAATTAACGAAGTGTATCAAATGATACAGAAAATAATAATAAACATTTATATTATACTACTTATTACAATCAATTTGTTACTTTATAGTAATTAGCTTATTAGTTAAAAGAAAATCTGATTGTCATATGCTCACTAGTGATTAACTTCGTGAGGGAATTCTTGGAGTTGTAGTAAGAGGCCATGACCAGTGGAACTAATGAGTGTAGAGACAGGTATCTACTTCAGTACAATGAGAAATGGTCGTGAATTGGTAGAGGTTAAACATTAACACCGTCGGGTGTCGGCTCAGTGGTCTGGTGGTTGGTCGTTAGCGTGGGAGACTGAAGACCTTGGGTCTGAATCCCATGAAGAGGATCGCGGGTGCGCACTGCTGAGGAGTCCAAATATAGGACGAAGCGGTCGTCCAGTGCTTCCAGGTTTTCAATGATGGTCTAACATCAATCGGTTCATGATCTCAATCAATAATTGTCAAAAGATGGCCTATACAAATTCGATGTAAAACTAAACAGATCTTTGTGTGTTAAATGTGTATTCAAAACTTTTTTTCATTTATTTATTTGAACACATAAACTGTTAAGTTTGTTTTACATTGTTCCTGCCCATTCCTTTTCTACTCTTTTGTATGTTGGTTTATACTACTTATTTATATTCAGTAAGCAGTTGTATGCCCAATAATTTTCACAATTATGTTGTAACTCTCGTTGTACTGTAACATTCTGGAATGTTCACATATATCTTTAACGTTTATTTTACTTATCATTGTATTTATCATTATAATCACTGTAATTTAATTACTGTAACGGTTATCCACAGTTTTGTCCATTTGTTTAAACGCAACAGTTTCCATATTGTTTGCTCTTGGTTCGGTTTTCGGTTGTTCATAAACTGTTATCAAATTTAGACACAGCTATCAGCTGTCTTTGGACTATCGTATATTATAATCATTCTTTATGTTACTCTTACAGGAAGCCTTTGCTAGTTTCATTCTTGAACGACGCGTTTTAACGCCTAGACACCTCACAAGTTGAGGTTTGTAACTAAATTTTGTGTATTATTTAATAAAGAACCGCTTTTGTAGACAAATCGTTGTTTTGGAACTTCGATTTTGCGCGTATCTCAATCGGTGTTACTTGGACGCTTCGATAGAATTAACATAAACATTAGTACAAGGGTGCACCAATTGCATATGCGTCACATTATAACATTGAGGTTGTAGAGAAATGGAGAATGGAGGGTGAGTAACTATGAATATAAATTAGGGTGTTAGAGTGAAGTAATAATAACAATAATATTGATAGTGGGAGAAGCAGTTCAGTTAGGAAAAATACATCCACTTTTATGAGGAAAGTAAAATTACAATAGAATCACTTCTGATTTTTATTATGAACCATGTCCAATAACGTTGCGTCCAAGCCAGCAAAGTTATTATTTCAAGCAATTGCTTTTTCTCACATACTCTTACGGTTCGTAAAACAATAAAACGATCTCATTTGTAAATTAAGTTGTGGTTTCAATATAAATTCATTTTACTCTCTAAAGCCACTAATAATTTATCTACCCTATCTACAAATTCGATTATGATTATAACAAATACTACGACATTCAGTTAACATTTCTGTCACGCAACTCAAACTGAAGTTATGACAGTTAATTATGAGGTTTTTGTAAGTTATAGGGTGATCTTATGAAAATTTCAAGAAAATAGCATATAATGAATAAGTATTATAATTGTTTAAAAGGACAAAATTTGATACAATATTTGAAACTGCATCTGACCAACCTCATTATGTGGTTTTTAAACACTAAGAACTTCTGAATAAACCACTTTGAAAACAGTTACATTATGATATTATCAGAAGTAAATGGAAAGGAACCTACATAACATTAAAGTAGGATTGAGGATTGATGTGTGGCTAGTGAAGTGAAATGTGATTAGCTACTGAGAGTGGACAAACAAACACTTATCTTACTGACTATTATATATGTGACTTCTTTTCTTGTTATTGGTCCATAATTTGGATTCAGTGAGAGAGACTGCTTGTAATTGTGTGGTCTAAAGTATTGTCCAGTGTTTATTCTGGTTTTCTACTTTTTGTCATGAATCGGCCATCTGATACATCAGATGTAATATGATCCAGTACGTGTATCGTTCGAGTAACCAATCTTGCGGTAGTATAAACTCAGTAACCACTCTTATCATAGTAAAGCAATATATTGTGGGGACAACCAAGTATAATAACTCTTTAGTTATATCAGGAACAATAACAGATTAGCTATCTCTAAAGGAGACAGATTATGTATAGAATTAGGATCTTCAACCATCCACCCTTTATTTACACTCACTTACATCGTTTATTTTGTTGTAGTTCAGAAGGATTTCAGCTATCAATATTAAAGGGAATAAAAGTATTTATAACTTCAGTTGAGATAGCAAAGGGTCAATATAGTTGTGCTGTTTTAAATAAATTCCTAGAGTGGGCTGAATTGTTCCAATCTCGTTGATTACATTGATTACTCACGTGAGATTAAGGTATATTACTATAGAACTTAATATACGCCCAACATTCTATTTTGAAACGGTTGTGTAACTCCTAAGCAAAGATAAGTATATATACATATATGAATTTATGATGCAATGTTAACTGTATGCTTGAGTGTTTCACAAAGTAGAATCATAGGAACATCTGAAGAAGAAGCAATCGAGAGATTATTTCTAGGAAGAGTTTTCAAACCAATTTCTAGAGACAGAAGAAAGTAAAAGATCTATTTGTTAAGTTGTAAAACCTATATTCATTCACTATAGAAAACACCGTTTGAATTAGTAAATCTCGTTGATTTGTGTGAAACAAATTGTTTAGTAATAAAAGTGAAAATTGATAAACAGAAACATTTCTCGTTTGCTTACTCTTATTATAACCCAAAGCCCCCAATCAGAAGCAGCAAACTATCGATCGGACCAAAGGCTCGTAAAACACATGGGAGCAGCCTAGAGTCCTGATTGGTCCTGCTTTCCGACTAGCCCAGCCAGTTAAGTCCAGAACACCAGTCTCAGCCTGTGTAATATAAATCATTATATTTCAAACATGCTGCGTTTATATACCAATCAAATAGACCACAACACACGAATAAAATATGAACAACATTTGTACAAGAATTAGCCAGATGTGGCTGTGAATGAGAGAGGCAATGACTAATAGACAGGGAATAATTCAAGAATGGAAAATCATATAATAACAGTTCATAGGTTAAAATAAAGTTTATAATAAGAGAGACATGGATATGAATAGTTTAGTTAATTGACAGTTATACGATAAAAATATACGCACAGTATTGGTCTATCAGTAAATCCCTAAAGTTACCATTCATTATTCTTGTCGGGACATAACAATTGCTAAATAAATTCATACATGTAATCATCTTCATCTCATCAAAAAAAAACGTTTGAAAGGAATTTTAAACGATCATCTTGTTGTTTTAATGACGCTTTTAAGTGTTATTTTATGCTTGTAACTTATTTACAATATCTAACTTTAAGTGATCGGTTGAGAACGTTTATCTTAATTCTTACTATCCGATTATTTCCAAAGTTACACATACATTTTCATTTCTTTAGCCTTAAATAATTATTCACAATAACTCATTGTTTTTTAAGACGAAAAATTCCACTTTCGTTTCGCCCCCCTGCTTTTTTCTTATTCTTACGTAGTCGTTTGTAATGACCAACTCAGTGACCAATCATTGTATTGTAGTGTGCCGTCGAGTCGTTGTTGAATATGGTCATCACTACAAGAAGGTTGCTTACCAGATATCAGAAGGCGATTGGAGGTTTTAGCAAGATATATTTGTTGGCGATCTCGTGGTATCGAAAGAATACCGAGATCGTGCCAAAGGAGTACAAGCGGAATCACTGAGCAAACGTAAATGCGTGCAAGGTCACAATCAACGGAAGGAAGAATGTTTTTAGTACAGTTAAACAAACAAGTACAGTAAAACAATCACTGGTACAATTGGTTATAATAATAACTGTTTCCATTAAACCAGTCGCGTTTTCTTGATAAAAGTAGGTCACTACAGTATTCTACCAATGATTTTTATGGATGACAGAATATGGATAAATACTATCCATTAGGTACATTATCATTTAATTGGTAATGATTAGTGAAAGTTGACTGGTGAAATTCAGACATGTCGGAAGTAATTCAGTTGCACTGGACGATTGTCTTACTATATCGTAAATTGATTTGAGTTAAAACTTTATTATTGGGCACCGAACTAGCAGTTTTATTGATTAGGCGTTCACCTTGAAGCCTTAGAAGTTTTGCATTCGATACCTGGTGGGATCAAGTGAATGGACTGCTGAGAAGTTGCATAATAGGACGAAAAACTTTTCCATTTCTGTTCAGTATCTGTGACTGAGATTAATCTGTTGCGAATAAAACATACAAACTAATTTTTTGAAGTCGACCATTACATACTGATGTGAAGTTATAATGAGGAACTAATTAAAAGGATAAAATTGCTTCATTCAATTTATGTTTTCAAATATTTAAATGCAACGATTCAAACTGTGATCATAATGCAATTATAAATTATTAAAAGTACTTGACATTGTATTACTATTCTAATGTGTTTACAAATCTTTATTAGCTTCCTTTGAATTTTAGATTAATTTTTCTCTTCTATCATTTTTGATGTCATCACTTTTCTACGTTTGAACTCTTTGAATGTAACTAAAAACCTTTTAATATTACTTACTTACTTACTTACACCTGTTACTCCCAAAGGAGCATAGGCTGCTGACCAGCATTCTCCAACCCACTCTGTCCTGGGCCTTCTTTTCTAGTTCCATCCAATTCTTGTTCATTTTTCTCATGTCTATCTCCGTTTGCGGCGTAATGTGTTCTTTGGTCTTCCTTCTTTCCTTTGGCCTTTTAATCTAGTTAGTATGTTATAGGATGATTGCATTCCTATCTTGACTTTGTGTACATTTTAACTGAATAACTGTCAATATGTTAATTGGTCAATGATATAAGAAACCGAAACGAAATATGTTAGAAATAAATTCACTTGGTGTTGTTTTACTTGTATCATCCCATTGATATTTAGGAGTGCAATTGATCAGTCTCATGTTGGCATATATGCATCCTGTGCGGATTGCGAATAAAACATGCGTCCTGCATTTCACTGCTGGTTACTACTCATTTTTGCTTAAAAAAACTTGTAACTTAAGGCTATATCGAGGCAATCCGCGCAGGATAAACATGTACCAACAAGAGACTGATCAGTTGCAATCATAAAAAACAATGGGAAGGTACAAGTAAAACAACACCAAGTGAATTTAAGCTTCACCCTAATACACAAGTAAGTGGCTATCAGGACTTAGTAGCTAAGCAGATAACGCGATGGCGTTTGAAGTGAATGGTATTGCGTTCGAGTCACGGAGTGAACATTAACTCTGGGATGCAGGTACATCCGGCTGACGAGCCCCGAATAGGATTCCACTGCTATCCACTATCCGTCTTTGCTTAAAAAGCTCATGTTATAAATAGTTTACTTCCAAAGTTAAATTCAAATGATACGAACAGTAAACACAACAGTTAGTGCAATAATAAATATTGTTTAATAAGTCAATATATACATAGAAGAGAATCAATAATCAAGCGTTCTAAGTAAAACAGTGTTTCAGCGGATCAGCGAAATAAGAGTGTAGCTTAAAATAATTAGCTTTGATTATACAAATACTTTTCTACGGTCGTCATCCCTTAAACTATAAGATTAAAATCGCTTCATATCTTTCTTTCTACGAATTAATTCTTTCTTCCTGTACTATATCCTTATGTGCAATCTTTCTTTTATATAATACTACTATTGAATTAACTGCTTCTATGAATCCGGTGTTTATCTTATTGTGCTAATGAGGTACAACAACTTGGATCGATGTATATATGTGCCTGGTCCTACATTGTAGCTGACTGACTGACTAACTGACTACAGGCGTGGATATACAAATAAGAAGCATAGATTGAATTATTATAAGTTATAATTACAACTCATCTAACAAGTTAGTATTCGAAGACTTCACTAATTCAAATGTGTAAATACTTGAAAATTGCTTCCCTATAATTGATAATTTTAGCCACTATTTATTGGTGAATAATATTTAATCAATATATTAACTTGAACAAATTAATTGACCAATCAAATATCATCTAACTTCTGTGTTAATATTTATGTGAAATAGCACTATCTGTTTTATGTCAAAACTTACATAGTTACAACAACAACAAAAAAAGAAACAAGTAAGTTCATTTTATTTTGTTCCCAGTTTAAATGAGATTTACAAAAAAAAATTAATTATTGAGTAATAATAATATACATGGAAGTACATGAAGATAATTTACCCAATAATAGTTGTACGTAATTATATTATATAACTTACTTACTTACTTACGCCTGTTACTCCTCATGAAGGATCATAGACCGATCACCAGCATTCTCCATCCAACCCTGTCCTGGGCAATCCCTTCCAGATTCTTCCAGTTCTTACTCATCCTTCTCATATCTGCTTCTATTATCCGATGTAATGTTTTCTTTGGCCTTCCTCTTTTCCGCTTCCCTTCAGGATTCCAAGTTAGGGCTTGCCTTGTGATGCAGTTCGGTGATTTGCGTAATGTATGTCCTATCCATTTTCATCGTCTTTTCCTAATGTCCTCTTCATCTGAAATCTGGTTTTTTTCTCTCCCACAAAAGGTTGTTGGTGATGGTATCTCACCAATGGATGTTAAGTATCTTGCTTAGACAACTATTTATAAATACTCGTACCTTCTTGGTGATGGTGAGTGTTGTAGTTCTCCAAGTTTCAGCTCCGTACAGTAGAACTGCTTTGACGTTGGTATTGAAGATTCTCAGTTTGATATTAGATGACAGTTGTTTTGAGTTCCATATGTACTTCAATAGAAGGAATGTGGCCCTTGCTTTGGCAATCCTCGCCTTTACGTCTGCATCTGACCCTCCTTGTTCATCGATGATGCTTCCTAGGTATTTGAAGGACTCTACATCTTCCAGAGTTTCGCCATCAAGAGTGATTGGATTGCTGTTCTCCGTTTTGAATTTGAGAACCTTGATTTTCCCCTTGTGTATGTTGAGGCCTACTGATGCATAAATTGCTGTTACACTGGCTGTCTTTATCTGCATTTGTTTGTGTGTACGTGATAGGAGGGCTAGGTCATCTGCGAAGTCCAAATCGTCTAATTGATTCTGAGCTGTCCATTGTATTCCGTGTTTTCCTTCAGATGTCGAGGTCTACATAACCCAATCGACCACCAGAAGAAAGAGGAAGGGAGAGAGTAAACAGCCTTGTTTGACTCCGGTTCTTACTTGGTATTGCGTCTGTCAGTTGTCCTCCATGCACTAATTTGCACTGTCGTCCGTCTTATGAGTTCCGGATAATATTGACAATCTTCTCCGGAACTCCGTAGCGTCGAAGACGTTTCCATAACGTTCTCCTATCTACACTGTCAAATGTCTTTTCATAATCAATGAAGTTGATGTATAATGACGAATTCCACTCAATCGATTGCTCGACGATGATCCATAGTGTCGCAATTTGATTAATAATATTTAATCAATATATTAACTTGAACAAATTAATTGACCAATCAAATATCATCTAACTTCTGTGTTAATATTTATGTGAAATAGCACTATCTGTTTTATGTCAAAACTTACATAGTTACAACAACAAAAAAAAGAAACAAGTAAGTTCATTTTATTTTGTTCCCAGTTTAAATGAGATTTACAAAAAAAATTAATTATTGAGTAATAATAATATACATGGAAGTACATGAAGATAATTTACCCAATAATAGTTCTATATAATTATTATTATATAACTTACTTACTTACTTACGCCTGTTACTCCTCATGAAGGATCATAGACCGATCACCAGCATTCTCCATCCAACCCTGTCCTGGGCAATCCCTTCCAGATTCTTCCAGTTCTTATTCATCCTTCTCATATCTGCTTCTATTATCCGATGTTATGTTTTCTTTGGCCTTCCTCTTTTCCGCTTCCCTTCAGGATTCCAAGTTAGGGCTTGCCTTGTGATGCAGTTCGGTGATTTGCGTAATGTATGTCCTATCCATTTTCATCGTCTTTTCCTAATGTCCTCTTCATCTGAAATCTGGTTTTTTTCTCTCCCACAAAAGGTTGTTGGTGATGGTATCTCACCAATGGATGTTAAGTATCTTGCTTAGACAACTATTTATAAATACTCGTACCTTCTTGGTGATGGTGAGTGTTGTAGTTCTCCAAGTTTCAGCTCCGTACAGTAGAACTGCTTTGACGTTGGTATTGAAGATTCTCAGTTTGATATTAGATGACAGTTGTTTTGAGTTCCATATGTACTTCAATAGAAGGAATGTGGCCCTTGCTTTGGCAATCCTCGCCTTTACGTCTGCATCTGACCCTCCTTGTTCATCGATGATGCTTCCTAGGTATTTGAAGGACTCTACATCTTCCAGAGTTTCGCCATCAAGAGTGATTGGATTGCTGTTCTCCGTTTTGAATTTGAGAACCTTGATTTTCCCCTTGTGTATGTTGAGGCCTACTGATGCATAAATTGCTGTTACACTGGCTGTCTTTATCTGCATTTGTTTGTGTGTACGTGATAGGAGGGCTAGGTCATCTGCGAAGTCCAAATCGTCTAATTGATTCTGAGCTGTCCATTGTATTCCGTGTTTTCCTTCAGATGTCGAGGTCTACATAACCCAATCGACCACCAGAAGAAAGAGGAAGGGAGAGAGTAAACAGCCTTGTTTGACTCCGGTTCTTACTTGGTATTGCGTCTATCAGTTGTCCTCCATGCACTAATTTGCACTGTCGTCCGTCTTATGAGTTCCGGATAATATTGACAATCTTCTCCGGAACTCCGTAGCGTCGAAGACGTTTCCATAACGTTCTCCTATCTACACTGTCAAATGTCTTTTCATAATCAATGAAGTTGATGTATAATGACGAATTCCACTCAATCGATTGCTCGACGATGATCCATAGTGTCGCAATTTGATTAATAATATTTAATCAATATATTAACTTGAACAAATTAATTGACCAATCAAATATCATCTAACTTCTGTGTTAATATTTATGTGAAATAGCACTATCTGTTTTATCTCAAAACTTACATAGTTACAACAACAACAAAAAAAGAAACAAGTAAGTTCATTTTATTTTGTTCCCAGTTTAAATGAGATTTACAAAAAAAATTAATTATTGAGTAATAATAATATACATGGAAGTACATGAAGATAATTTACCCAATAATAGTTCTATATAATTATTATTATATAACTTATTGAGATAATCATTCAAACTCAATTAATTGTTTATTATTGAATCAAATAATTGATAATGATTGATATATAAACGAAAAAATCGAATTTTAATTTATATATAATACATGATATACTACTATAATAGTTCAAATTGTTTATTATTATACACCATTTAACTCTATTCTCTACTTTCATATCCAATTGTTTTCAATCACTGTACATACTTTAAATGTCTATTTTCAATTCTCAACGTAAGATTTTATTTTAGTCTTTCTGTTTTTCATTTCTTTCAAAAAGTTTAAGTTAACAATGATCTCGTAATGTAGTTTGATGATTTCTTCCATGTGTGTCTTCATTAGTTCCAGCATCTTTTTTAAACATGATATAACATCAATTCAAAAATTTATGGTCTGTTGATAAGTGAAAATTACTTGGTTGAGATTGATGAGATAATTGTAATTAGTGATTGGAGATATTGGATGATAAGGCTGATAATTGATCATAAAGGATCTAATTAATTCACTCTATCTCTTCTCCTAGAACTTAAGTTTTAAAATGATCTTTTCATTCAATGAACTTATATCTTTTCCAACCATATTGTTTATGCCTAGAATTTTCTACTATCATTACTAATTTTATTACTATGGTATTTGTCTTAAATAATTTCATGTTGTTGTGCCGATATGATAATGATAACATTGACTAATGTATTTATATGTCAAGTTTTCCGTTGATATTGATACAAAATTACTTTTGTTTTAAAAATGTAATTTCTATGTTACTTTTAGTTTTATAATATGAAATATGAAATTTAGTATCTAATGAAAACGTATTGAAATTCCTTACAATTGATACAAACATCCACATTCATTCAACTTGATTCTAGTTGGTTAAGCGCCTGGCGCGAGACTGATAGGTTCTGGTTTTGAATCTCGCGGGGTGCGGGATCGTGGATACGCATTGCTGAGGAGTCCCATATTAGGATGAAGCGGCCGTCCAGTGCTTCCAGGTTTTCCATGATGGTCTAGCTTCAATTGATTCATGATTTCAATTAGTGAATTTTCTAAAATCTCCACAAAACCCCTTCTGATAATTTTATTTAATCAATTGTTTATTATCATTATTGATTTTATTTTATTTCTTTTAAAGTATTATGAATAATAATTGGAAGAGACCAGATTTACCAAGTAAATGTACATTTTCTTCAAAACAATCAATTATTGAAAGTCCTCATCATCATCATCACCATCTTCATCAGGATCATCCTCATAATTCAATGTATGTTTTTCTAAAAATCAATTGATATTCTAAAGGCAATTCAATTAATTAATTTAGTTTCAAAAGAAATAAAATTTTAAATCATTCATTAGAATTAATTGGTAATACACCTTTAATTCAACTAAATCAAATTGTAAAGAATGAAGGTATAGAATGTGAACTATGTAAGTGATAGAATATAGAAATTTTGTAAAGAAAAAATATCTTTCTATTTTATAGTAGGAAAATGTGAATTTCTTAATATTGGTGGTAGTATTAAAGATAGAATTGCAAAACGTATGATTGAAGAAGCTGAATTAGAAGGTAAATTAAAACCTGGGGATACAATTATTGAACCAACTTCGGGAAATACCGGTATGTCTTTCTTTTTTCTTTTTTTTTAAAGTTTGTTTATTCTATTACAGAAATGCATACATGAAATCATACACTTAGAATGCCGGTTCAATGGTCTAGTAGGTTAAGTGTTCGCGCGCGAGACTGAAGGCCGTGTGTTCGAATCCCATGAGCGAGATCGTGATTGCGCACTGCTGAGGAGTCCCACAATAGGACGAAACGGCCGTCTAGTGCTTCTAGGTTTTCAACGGTGGTCTAACATCAATCAGTTTATGATCTCAATCAGAAACTTAGAATTTTATTAAATAATGTCTGTATTTAATATTATTATTATATGTAAATAAGCACAAAACGAAAGTTTTAAAGATTCATACTAATAAGAGCTCGAAGAAAACTGTAACCATTAAAAAGCGTATGTTAGCAGAGATGAGTATTGAACGAGGGAATAAAAGTTTTAAACTTGAAATTTAGTTGGTTTACTATCGATCCTTTTGCTTCTATGATGAATCGGAAATCCAGTTCTTTAAATGTTGAATAAAGAGTTCACTTTCAATCGATACTGTAACTAAATAATATATTTGTAATATCCCAATGAGTAGAAAAAATAGATTTTCTGATGTTTCGTAACCTAGTGTAAGCCAATTCTTCGGAGAATAAATAACTCTTAAAGGTTTTCTGTGTGAATTGAAATTTAATCCTTTCTCTATCAGACTGATTTCATGATTGGTTAAGTTTCTATCTGAGAGATTATGAACAATTCTTATTAGATTTTATTGCTGGCATTTTCATATCTTTCTTTCTTTCTTCGATCCTTTCAAATTTTTTGATTTGACGGCGTTTTGATAAATCTTAATAATGGCGTTCTCTTCCCATAAACAGGTTAGAAATTGTGGTTTGTAATTCTGCAGGATCATCTAGGTCTTTGAATTGTTCACGATATTTTTCAAGTAAATTTGTGCATTTGTGAATGCGTTCTCGTAAAAATATTCAAGATGAGCGTTGTAAACTTCGTTTATTAAATATCCTGTTATTGTACCAATTCCATTTACACTTGGATAATTTAATTCGGTTATTAATGCGTTTGTTACTTATTCTCTGAAGCAGTGGCCTACACTAAGTCACGAAACGTCAGAGAATCTAACTTTTCTTCTCATTGGGATATTACAAATATATTATTTATTTATAACTATCTACCCACTGCTCAATTTATTCGAAATTATCAAGTCAAACCTTGATAATGATATCTAAAAAATACTGTAATGGTTCGGATCAACCAACAATTGATCAGTACACAATTTGGGGCCCAATGATAAAGCTTGCATTAAGATTTATGAGAGGGAGATAGAAGAGTGATCAAATATATGTTTTTTTTAGGATTTTGAGGAAACTCTTCATTTATTTCTACTGGTTTAAAAGTTTTTAAATACTTAAGTTTAGCTTTGTGTGATTATTGTTCAGTGACATGAAAAATTCCGTAATTGTTTGCGCTCACCTGAGAAAAGCGTAGTATTAGCAGAACGCTTGGAGACCAGGCGAAAATATAGTTCAGATGGCAGAACGTACCGAGTGATGTAAATGGACGATTGAAGGCTGTGTATATGCATTGTATAGATACTTTGTAACTTTTTACAACAAACATACAATACACCTGCATATTGTCTTGTTTTACAGTGGTACCTGCTTCCATAGTCAAACTTATCATTACAAATACAATTAACTATCATCCCATAGAAAATATTCATAATCATATCTACCCTCCACAATTATTATCAACATCAAATACTAGAGTAGTTATAGTGAATATACATATTTGATTACTTATTACTAATTTTAAATAGGTATTGGATTGGCGCTTACTGCTTCTCTTAAAGGTTACCGATGTATAATTGTAATGTCAGAGAAAATGAGTAGTGAAAAGGTAAACTATTGTAGTTTTCTTCTGGTGATTTTGCACTTTTGTTTAATTATTGTGTTGTCATAATCAAGAATTACTGGCCTCATGAAGTAAAATTACCTTTTGAGCATGAACCAACTAGTTCACATTTGTAACCCAATTGCACACCTATTGATATATGTAAGTTAATTGGGTGACGAATAAGTGTTAGTACGTATTAGAAGAAAATCTTTCCAAAATTTCCATACTAAGCTGTTTAATGAAAAATATCAAAAGAATTTGAGAAGTCATACGACTTGTAGGATTAATACAGTCTAGTCTGAATTAACTGATGTTATTTGTGTGAAGATCATGTTATTAAATGAATGGATTGAAGTTAATTTTGTAAAACACTGAATTCTATCTCAGTAGCTTAAATATTTCATGATTAAAAAGTTCCTCAAAAGTTATAGGTTTATTTTTGTGTATAACATGAGTATGTATTATTATAGAGTCCCGAAAACACTTTGGGACTAGTGTAAATGACTAGATATCCAGTGGATTATGTTTAAATGTTAGATATTTGAAAGTGATTGCTAGTATACCTTGTAACTAGGTTTCTTTCTTGTTGATTTTTTCTATGTAACCACAGAGTATGTAATGTTAAGCCACTTAGAAAAGATGCCAAATTTCGACTTGACTGATAGGATTTGATTACTTCTAGGATATAGAGCAAACATAAGATTGGTCACCACTTAATGATCAATCAGTGAGGCATCTATGAAGTACTCTATGATCGTCAATATTTCCCTATTTCAGGATAGTTAGTGAAGTATATTACCTTCAGATTTCTATATATTCAGTCTTATTATTTAGATCTGATGAAGCCGAATTAGTTCACATTTAAAAATGTCTATTATTCTCATAAGTTGTCTGATAGTTATACAACACATTAACTGAAGGTGATTGTATGCTCATTTAGCAAACTATTTCGTTCTTTATTATGATCAAATGAATCAGTATTGAAATATACCGTTTTTACTGTTCTATTCTTATAAAGGAATCGTACTTAAGATGCCTTGGAGCTGAAATCGTTCGTACACCGGCTTCTGCAAATTTTGATCATCCTGATTCATTGTTTCGAGTGTCAGAAAAAATAAAAAAATGAAATTGGTCCATCTGCACATATCATGAATCAATATACAAATCCATATAATCCAATAGCTCATTTTGATGAAACAGCTGAAGAAATTCTTCGTGATTGTACAGAAGAAAATGGACAAATCAAATTGGATATGCTAGTAGTTGGTGTTGGAACTGGTGGTACAATAACTGGAATATCAAGGAAAATAAAAATGAAAGTGCCTAATTGTTTAGTAAGCTTATTTTGAACATCAATCTTTTCTTAATCTCACACATAAAATTCACTTTGGTTGACCGATTTAGAGATTTTACAAATCAATGAAACTATAAAATGATGATACTGTCGATTATATGATATGAGTCTTAATCTTTAAGAAGGCATTCATTCCTAGATTCAATATGCCCTTTCATAAAGGGCACTAAGCAGGATGGAATCTAGATCTATAACTTAGTACAGACTGCCTACATGTAAGTAAGATAAAAAAAACGAGACGAAGAATGATATAACGTTCTTTAAAATTGTGGCTACAGCACAACTCGACCAGTTAATACAGCTAGGTGGTATGACAGTGGTTACTCCCTAGTGCTCAAATAGTGTTAATACTACGGTTCTACAGAAGGTCATTTGCAATCGGAGTAGCTCTGTGTTAATGCCCTGAATTGTGGAACTGACTGACGCCAGTTTAAATCCCATATACAGAATCAAGACTGAAAAGCATGTCCTACTGATCAGGGCCAATAAGAACAAAAGACCGGTCCAGACTTTATTACTGACTATCTTTAACCTTCAAACGTCTTGATAGTTAGTTGAATTTTTGATAGAATAGTTTGTCATGAGAATCTATTAATTACAGTGAACAGTTGGATCATAGTGACTAGTGAGTAGTATATATATAGTATATTGTACAATATCAATCGGAGTTTGATTATTAGTTAGCATTAGAGAAATAATTTGCCACTATCACAGTAATTCTCTTTTCATATTAGACAGTAGTTAATCATGTGTCTTACAATAGATGTTGTCATATATTGCATATGTACACTCAAAAAATACACCAACAACCTTTTAATAGTTCAGTTCAAACAAGATTTACTAGAACATACCTCTGAGTGATTATTTTATTCGCTCATGAGTTAAAATCTGCTAACTTCAGTAGAAATACTCACTTATACAAATTATCACACCGTAAGTTTCTGACATATCTATAATTTTCAGTTGGGTTGTTAGGGCTAAGAATAGTGCCAATGCAATGCTCGTTAGATATATAGTAAGAAGTTGAAAGTTTCTTAGTTAATCAGTTGATAGAGATTAATTAAGGAAACCGTTTCAAGTTGTTAGCACAAGACATGTATTTCATCTCAATTTCATTTTCTAAAACAGTATCCATCCATAATTGTATTAAGAATTAAGTATAAAATCTTCAGATCTAATTTCATGTTGACTAGTAATTCCTTACTTACTTACGCCTGTTACTCCCAATGGAGTATAGGCCGCTGACCAGCATTCTCCAACCCACTCTGTCCTGGGCCTTCTTTTCTAGTTCCATCCAATTCTTGTTCAGTTTTCTCATGTCTATCTCCATTTCTCGGCGTAATATGTTCTTTGGTCTTCCTCTTTTCCTATGGCCTTGAGGATTCCATGTGAGGGCTTGTCTTGTGACGCAATTGGGTGCTTTCCTCAATGTGTGTCCTATCCACTTCCAGCACTTCTTTCTGATTTCTTCCTCCACTGGGATCTGGTTTGTTCTCTCCCACAGTACGTTGTTGCTAATAGTGTCCGGCCAATGGATCTGAAGTATTTTGCGTAGACAACTGTTAATAAACACCTGTATTTTCTGGATGATGGCTTTCGTAGTTCTCCAGGTTTCTGCCCCACACAGTAGAAGTGTCTTGACATTTGTATTGAAAATCCTGACATTTGTGTTGGTTGACAGTTGTTTTGAGTTCCAGATGTTCCTCAGTGATTTTGGTTTCTTTAACATTTCAAGTTATTCACTGGGTTCACTTGTTTTTATTGAACTGTTGAGCTTTCCCATGATGCCTCTTTTTGTAAAAGCCTAACTTCACCACATATTATAGATTGTTGGAGTGGATCCAATCGGTTCAATTTTAGCCAATCCAGAGTGTCAAGAAACAACTCCATACGACGTTGAAGGTATTGGATATGATTTTTTCCCTACTGTCTTGGATACAAATGGAATTGATAAATGGTGTAAAACAGGTGATCATGAATCTTTTGAAATGGCTAGGCGACTTATACATGAAGAAGGTTTACCATGTGGTATGTTAGACGTTTGTACTTGATCATTTATGTATTTATTATGTTTTTTTTTTCGATTTTGATGTATTTGAAACACTTTTCTACTCTTCTTTCTTCGCGATAATTCTCTAACTAATACATTTTCAATTTACATCAACGACTGACAATTAGAATAAACCAGAACGCAACGTATGTATCAAGACAACAGTCAGAATAAATGAAATGAAATGAAAGTTAAATTTTTCATGTAAGATATTCTAGATTGCACGAGGTTAACTGATAGAATAATGTCACTATCTATTGAAATTATCCGTGAGTCCTAAAATGAACAAATCAGCTTGCCTGAAACTGATTTGTTAGAAGTTAGTTTCTAAGCCAACTCTAAATCTAAAATATGGGTAATAAGATAGTCTGAAAATAAATAGGAGAGTCTTTCGTCTTAGAGGTATGCAAAAGTTATGTCTTTTGATTAGGTCAATAGGCGTAAGAGATGATAACGTGAGAGTCGCTGGAATGAATCACACTGTAACAGATCGTTTTTATAATCGGTTACCACTTATTCACTTAATAACATTTTACACTCAAACCTTTTTGTTTCGAAAATCTGATTAACAAGTATACGTAGTTGTTTTTCGTATTTAATGTCCTAATTGAATAATTGTAGTGGTCTGTTACAACAAAAATGTATTTTGTATATCACTACTCAGGATTTCAATTTCGACAGAGTTCATTTATCCAAGTTGATAAACCGTATACACTACTTCTAGATTCGATGAAATCAAAGATTTTTTTTATTGTTGTCGTACTAACACTCTCGTTGGTAAACAAAAAATCAGTGAAATTTTAGGTTTATCATTTCAGCTTCCTTATTTAAATTTTGATGAAGTTATGTTCTATGACCTGTGCAGTTTATCAATCAAGTTTCCATTATCCTTCTAGATAATATAATCAGTATAAACTTCAGACATAAGTGAACTATAAGAATTTCTTCACTACTGACAAACAGCTTGTTTTGTTAACATAAAACTGAATGATAATGTATTTGAATTTACAGTTTAGTGATGAAACTCATTTTCAAATAAACGATTAGATTGTGCACAACGCCGATAGGTCCTGGATTCAAATCTTGCGGGGTGGGACCGCGGATGCGCACTAAGATAAAACAGCCGGCCAGGTTTTCCACGGTGCTTTAGCTTTAATTGACTCATTAATTCTACTATTAAATCATTATAATATTTACAAAACCTCTCTCTGATTAAAATAATTAGATATAAATATTTATGACATGATTACAAAATTATAAACATCCACATTCATATATATCAAGTTTGGTTATTTATATCTCATGGTTATTTAATATAAACACTTTGATTTATTCTAAGTCATAGAAACAACATTTAGGTTCACATTATTTGACAAATAACAAACCAAATATATGTTTTACAGCTAATTATTATTATTCTAAGACCGTAAAGGGTAATGTTTTTATGTTGTTGAATAAATAAGTCGGAAGTCGTGTTGATTAGTTGTGATAAACTAATCAAATAAATTATACAAATAACTACTAGTCATCACGGTTAATTAATATATAAATGATGATTATACTAATTTGACGAATATTAGTTGGTGGAGTTTTGTTCTCTGAGCTGGATGGTTTGGTTGTGGAGCTTTCATCGTTCTTCTGAACGACATCATCAGCACAAACTTCAGATGGAAGTGAAGTGTTCGAATTTCTCCATATGTGTTTCACAGCTTGTTCTGTGCACATCGATGTTGATTGGTTCTTATTGACCTTAAGCTGTGAAACACATATGGAGAAATTCGAACACTTCACTTCTATCTGAAGTTTGTGCTGATGATGTCGTTCAGAAGAACGATGAAAGCTCCACGACCAAACCATCCAGCTCAGAGAACAAAACTCCACCAAAATCATCCACCTGAGCTACAAATCTTCTCCACCATCACGAATATTAGTCGAAAACTATGACTAATATTATTGTTATTATTAAAAGTTGTTGACATAGACTATGGTAACTAAATACTTCAGGATAGTTGATTTTTACATGAATAATATTGCTTTCTGAGTACTGTCGCTGGCAAAATTACTTTGCAAAGATATTTAACCCATTGAACATCTTGTCAATAATTGTTTTATGAAAAAAAGAAAGCTAAGATTTAACCAATTAAGCCTTTTCAGCTTTTAATTCTGGGAGATCCACAAATTTTTTTTTACTTCCACAGTTGTATTTCAATGTCATACATGAATAGTTCAACCACCAATCACAACTATCTACATTATAATTATATGTTCGGAATATTTATTTGATAAGTCTAAATAATGTTAATGTAATCACTAAATACAATTCTGATTTACATTTTTTATCTGATCCAATTCTGTTATGGAAAACGTTCTTAAGCCAAACTATTTAGTTAACTAATTCATAAGGCTCTTACAAGCAAGTTAAATAAACCTGAGCGAAGATAGCCAGTGTAGCAGTAGCATCTTCAGCATTGGACCTCAATTTACACAGGGGAAAAAGCAAAATTCTGAAATACAACACAACGAGCATCAACCCAATTACACTAGATGGAGAAACTCTGGAAGATGTGGAAACTTTCACGTACCTGAGTGGTCAGCAACATCGATGAATATGGGGAATCCTATGCAGATGTGAGGGCAAGGATTGGCAAAGCAAGAATAGCATTCCTACATTTGAAGAACATATGGAACTGAAAACAACTGTTTCCAAGTGAACATCTAAATCAGGATTTTCAATACGTACGTTAAGACAGTTATTTCTACTGTACGGAGCTGAAACTTGGAGAACAACCATAACCATCATCAGAAAAGTACAAGTATTTCTAAACAAATTTCTACGTAAGATAATGAATATCCGTTGTCCGGATACTATCAACAACAGCCTACTATGGGAAGGAACGAACCAACTTCCATCAGAATGTGAAATTAGGCGGCTGACAGGTTGATATGACATACATTACTGAAATCATCAAACTGCATCACGATGTAATACATAACTTGGATTCCTGAAGGTAAAAGGAAAAGCGAAAGACCACAAAATACATTATATAGAGCATTGAAGGCAGATATTAAAAGAATAAATAGCACTTGGAAAAGACTGGAAAGGAGAGCGGAGGATAGAGTTAGCTGGAGAATCTTTGTTGGAGATCTATTCACATTCACGAGGGATAACACGCGTTAGTAAATAAGTGAGTGAAGGCTTATTGAATCCAAAGAAATTAATGGATGGTATGAAGGTCAGTAGATGTAAAAGCTGAATAAATATTTCAACTAACTTTAATGAGTTGGCTGGCTATTTGGTTTGTACAGCAGACATTATACAGGAAACTTCCCTTGGTTGTTTTACAAATTTTATCAAACTGTTTGATAACCATAGTTAATAACTCAGTTAGATGTTCATATTCACTGCTTCCACTTTTTTCCTTGTTTACATTTGAATTTTCACTTTTTGTCGTTGGATGGTTCAGGTAGCTTTTAAGTGTGCCGATCCATATTTACTCCACTGATATATACCAACTTAACTTACTTCTAGAAAAGAAGCAACAATAAGTTGTAGATTCATTACATTCTAGAAATATTGCACTGTTTAAACTAGAATGAATCGAAATTCACTCTGTCGCGCAACCCAGTGGCTGTTTGAACTAATTAGTTAACAGATGACGCATTTAGTGTTTGAGGCGAAAACTACTGAAGTTGAGTCCCAATGTGACTATCAACATTGGGGTACAGGTACATCCAGCTGACGAGTTCCAAACAAGACAAAATCTAGTACCATACTTGCTATTCATTATATATTTGTAAAATATTTGAAATCTTTGTTCGATACATTTTTTTAGTATAATTTGACCAAATGTAGTCGCCGTTTCCTACTAGTTGGCATTGTTTAGCCAGAAATATCTACAATATTCAGATAACTGACTCATTCTCTGCGTAGTTCAAAGCTTCATCTCTCACCTTTACAGTTTGGGACGTTACCACTGATCTATCTGAATGAACAAATGGTTTAAGTCGACGGTTTCCTAGCAACTACTTCTAACTACCTAGCACTAAAATGTATAGTTCAAGTTAATGTCTAGTTATCTGTTAACCATATTGCAACTTGATCAGTAGAATTCAACCAGTACTAGATACTAGATAAACATGATATCGGTTATTACTTAGTCATAAACCACGATGTACTTATTATTACGAAATGTTTTATCGAATTCCTTTCTGTCATAAATTTTTTTCACAAAGGTGGCAGTTCTGGTGCTGCTGTAGCTGGTGCTATCAGAACTATCAAAGAATTGGGTTTAGGAAAAAACAGTCGAATCGTGGTTATTCTACCCGATAACGTACGCAATTACATGTAAGATAAGCTTTAAAGCTTATGTCATTTCATTTGTTCTCTTCTATTCATTTTCATTCTTTACTGAATGTTTATTTTCCCCTTATGATATATAAGCATAATGTGGCTAAAAGGTTTGAATTTCATTTAAAAACAGCTCATGCTTTATATACTCTCCAGGTAAACATTTATGCAGGTTAAAATTTCATATGTTACATTTGGGCGTCAATAATATCTCTGGTTGGGATTATAATGTAAGTCCACTAACATAAGATATATGTCCACGGTAATTTGCAGGTATTTTTCAGTTGGACATCCTGTCTTCTGGTGGATTCTGAGACTGTCAATGTATTTTCTTTGTGTGTTCGAACTAAGAAAAACGATTATTTTAGAAAAAAAAGAAACGGTTCATTGTTGTTATTGTTTCAAAATTATTAACATTATACCGCCTTGGTGTAATAAGGATATGATACTTGAAATACATAATCTGTCTTTTATTTTTGTTGGTTTTATGAGCGGACGTGTAAATTAAAGACAATGAAGCTTCATGTTTATAATTTACTTAAGCCATACATTTGCATATATAGTTATATGGAAAATATATATCTATAGGAGGATAGAAAAGATTGTATTATTAATGAATTGGAGACTAAATATCAAATGAGGTTAACGTACTAATCAAAGGGTAAGGAAGAAAATAATTTATGGGTCAGATATGAAGAAAAATTACAAACATAAAGGTCATAATAATAAACTGAAATAATCAAGCAAACTTATATAAGGTAATAATAATTTAAAAAAACCCAACAATAATCAAACAAAAGTGAAGAAGAAAGGAAATAAAAACCCGAGACATACCCATTAGGGGAATTAGGGCCAAGGAAGGATGAGAGGTTGGACGAATCGTTTCTGCACGCAAAGTTCAGGCTTGAGTTCGTGAGTTGCCAATGCCTCAGCTGTGCATAAAATATTGAGTCGACACCCATTCGATCCAATTCCTTTGACTCTGTAGATTACTTTAAAAGAAGAATCCTTTAAAGCGATGTGTCCATAGTTGATTAAATGCTCCTGTATAGAACTAGTAATTGTTTTACATTCTCCTTTTAAAAGCCAGGTCGAATAGTGTTCTGAGTTGCGTTTGGAAAGTGATCGCTTTGTGCGGCTAATTTAACATGCCCAAGATGAGCATGTAAATTTACGGATACACATTGACGTGGCCCATAGTGGAAGTTTATCATTAACACATCCATGAATGGCCGGCTTGAGAAAACAATTCGGAGCTTAGCTGCCTAGAACGTTTTATTCAATGATTTTGAAATCCGTTTAAGATTTCCGCAGCCATGTCTCCCTTAAATTCCATATTCATAAACAAGGTTTTCTTTTCTACTGTCGATGTTTTTTCATGATGAAGTCTAGGTGTTAAGTTGCTATCGAGGAATCTAGGTGAATAACCATTTCTAATGAGAGTCTGTCGAAATTGAAATACCCACTTACTTACTTATGCTTGTTACTCCCAATGGAGTATAGGCCGCCGACCAGCATTCTCCAACCCATTCTGTCCCACAATTCCTTCCTTTCCAGTTCTATCCAACTTTTGTTCATTCTTCTCATGTCCGTCTCCATTTTCTGGCGTAATGTGTTCTTTGGTCCTCCTCTTTTCCTTTGGCCTTCAGGATTCCATGTGAGGGCTTGCCTCGTGACGCAGTTGGGTGCTTTCCTCAATGTGTCCTATCCACTTCCGGCGCTTCTTCCTGATTTCTTCCTCCGCTGAGATCTTGTTTGTTTTCTCACATAGTAGGTTGTTGCTAATAGTGTCCGGCCAACGGATCCGAAGTATTTTGCGTAGACAACTGTTAATAAACACTTGTATTTTCTGGATGATGGCTTTCGTAGTTCTCCAGGTTTCTGCCCCACACAGTAGAACTGTCTTGACATTTGTATTGAAAATCTTGACCCTGGTGTTGGTTGACAACTGTTTTGAGTTCCAGATGTTCTTCAGTTGTAAATATGTTACTCTTGCTTTGCCGATTCGCTCCTTCACAGTTGCATCAGATTCACCGTGTTCATCAATGATTCTGCCCAGATATGGTCGTTCTCGTTTACGGTAATTTCCAGACAGTTTCTTTGTTGTATCACACAGTTGTCTCATGTTTCCTTCTCTTGCAGCCTTTTCCGCCGCCATTGCTAAATCCTCCACATATTTACGTTTTTCGGTTCTGATGCTCCTCTTCACTAGCTTGTTTACTTCTGTGTATTCAGCTTGTGCCTTGGCTTTTTCTGCTCTTGTTCGGCTGGTATTGATTACTGCCTTCTTGTTTATTCTTTCTTGAATCTTATCCAGTGTATCAACAGTGATCCATTCCTTGTGGTGGTGCTTCTTGTGACCCAGGACCTCATGACATGTTGAAGTGATTGCCTCTTTGATCCCCTTCCAGTTGCTCTCCACAGTAGTTCCTTCTCCATTGAGTAGATTATGAAAGGCCTGGAACTTGTTGCTGAGGACTATCTTGAATTTGTTGAGTTTGTTATTATCCTGGAGAAAGGCCGTATTGAACTTTTGTGATACTGTCTGCCCCGTTGTCCAGTGCTTCTTGAGTTTCAATTTCATTTTGGCGACCAGTAAGTGATGATCTGATGCTATATCAGCTCGTCTCTTGGTTCTCACGTCCTCTATAGTCCTCCTGAACTTTTTATTGATGCAAATATGGTCGATTTGGTTTTGCGTAGTGTGAACCGGTGAAGTTCATGTGGTTTTGTGAATGTGCCTCCTATGACCAGTTTGTTGAACGCACATTGGTTTGCAAATCCCTCACCATTTTTGTTCCTTTCTCCCAGTCCGTGTCGTCCCATGATGTCTTGATATCCGGTGTTGTCCATTCAAACCTTGGCATTTAGGTGGGTCTCCCACCAGGGTGGTCAGGTCCTTTATTGGGCACTTCTCGATGATTGATTGCAGCCTATTGTAGAATCGATCTTTAAAGTCTTCATTGTAGTCGTTGGTAGGCGCATAGCATTGGATGATATTCATTGAAATGCCCTCTTTCTTTGTTTTGAAGGAGGCTTTGATGATCCTTGGTCCATGAGATCCCATCCTATAAGTGCATTTTGTGCTTGTTTTGATAGCATCAATGTAACGCCTTTTGTATATGGGGCATTTTCTTCTTCATGGTCGGCGTATAACAGAAGCTCTTCTGAAGTTAGTCGTTGTTGTCTAACTTGCATTCAATGTGTTTCACTGATACCAAGCAACTCCAGGTTGTATCTCCTCATTTCTGCAGCAATTTGGAAGGCTCTCCCGGTCCCCCACACTGTACGAGCATTCCATGTACTCAAATAAATGGTCGCTCTGGTTGTCAGAAGGGGCATCGGCCTCGTAACTTCCGAAGGAACTCGGCTTCCATCATGAGGCGTCATAACTCTTCTAAATGAAGACCTTCTGACTCCCAGAGCAGAGTTTAAAAGGTTTGAACAATTTTTTCTGGTTAGCGTTTTCTAGCGAGTCAGTTTTATACGGGATGGGGTCGCTAACCTCATGCCCAACCCTTCTCCTTTTTCTGGGCTTCGGACCGGCAGTAGCCCCCGGAGGGTCCCCAGGCTGAACTTGAAATAGTTTCTCACCAATCGTGTTAGTGGAACATATTCTCTTGATCGTTGAGGATAAAAAGTGAATCAAGTTCCTCTTTCTGCTCAATGAGATCCAGCCATGGAAATTTGTGTATCACCCATTCCACTAAGTTTCTTATTTGTTTACTATCTTAAAAAAATCCTGTTTTTATTCTAATTTATTTTTTTTGTATAGGTCTAAATTCTTATCAAATGATTGGATGTTTAGTCGAGGATACATGAACTTTCCTCTTGGTGATGCATTTCGAAATAAGTAAGCATATAGTTATGAGGATAAGTGTAGCCAAATGATAAATTATATATTGAGTGTATCATAAAAATTCTTCAAGAATGTAAAATACTTTAACATGTATAAAGAAGTTAGATGTAGTTTTATTTAACTACATCTGAAATTTCATTCTACTACGGTAGTCAACTTAGTATTTTTTGTACACGGACTTAGAGAGTATCGAATACATTTGGTTAATTTTGGGCTTATTCACCAATCGAAATACGATTTATCCAATCTTAGTACTGTGCTAAACCATTGACATTCGACCGGTATGAGTAGCCTAGCGTCCTTATTGGTCCTTTGCTCACCTAGCCCGTCCAGTTGAGTACAGAACACCAATAACAGCTTCCATCATGAGAATTATTTATTTCAAACATACTTGGTTTATATACCAGTCAAACAGACCATGTTATATCACAAAATGGAAAATAACAATTACACACGATCAAGCCAAAAAGTGACTGTGAATGTGGGAGACTGTAATCAATAAACTGAACATAACTTAAAAACAGTAAACCGTATAATAATAATCTATAGGTCAAAATGAAGCTTATAGTAAGTGGGATATAGATAAACACAATCTAGTTACTGAATATATATATATATATATATATTACCAGTCCATTTATAGTTATCGGAAGTTACTCGTAATTTAATCTTCACTAGGATATAATAGAACCCCTTTTCTTGTTCAGCTTAATGAGCTTGCATCACATTTTCAGTAAGTAATGTTTGGCAAAGTTCTCAAAATTAAAACACTACTTGTATGAAATCTACCAGTTTGTTAGCGAAATATGGACTGGATTAAAGAACGTCCCGTGCACGATTGTGTTTTTGCACGCTGATTAGCTATTTCTTATCCAATCAACGTTAGCGGATGCTTGGAGAAGACTGTAGAATCTTTTGTTTAAACTATGGATATACTTACATTATTCTTATTGTGCTTCTTACTTCCATCTACCCTTGTTATTTGGAATATAATTTCGTTCCTGTTCAACCGTGTCCTGATTTAGGGACTTGTTGAGTGAAGTAGTGTCCAAGACTACTAAGTAATAGGAATAGCTGGGTCGTAATAGGAGAAATTATAACACTGTTTATATTTTGTTTTGTATTCACAAGGGTTTTTTTCTTTAAAATATTCTTGATTTGATTAATTTGACTATTTACATTGTATCCTGTTATTATATATCTTTCTGTCAAGTTGGATTAATGATACATTAGATGAATTAATTGCTGGTCTTCCAAAAACATTTAGAATTACTAGTGAATATACAGTAAAAGATGCTTCGAACTTGATTAAAACGGAGAATGTAAGGGGATTGTTGGTGGTAGAAAATAATGGAACAAAGTAAGCACTTTACTTCTAGTTCTGTATTTCAAAACAATTATCCTTAAAATGATTCATACATCCTGTTCATTTCTTCATTTAAAACAAGCTTTGAGTATGAGAACAAATTTATTTTTATTACTTATCAGTTTGTACTGGTCAGTATATCGTGTTTAATCAACTTGAATTGAATGTGAAAATTTTCTACACCTATCTAATACTATTGAGGATTTTCAGAAATAGGATTTCCTGTCGTCTGTACAATGACTGAGTACTGACTTATGAAGTCTAGGTTGCTAGTATTCAGAATATTAAGCGGGGTGAGTGAAATAATAGGAACAAAGGGCTATCATAGAGTAGCTACTATATCTTTAATCTACAGATTAGTTATTTTCATAACCACTTTTAACACAGTATTTAAATTTTCTTCATGAGATGTAAAGGATTGATCGTATGTAGTTGTAAGAGTGGTCGACTAATAGTGAAGTTAGGGGTAAGGAACTGTATAAAAATTGGAAATCCACCAATGTTTAGTGAACCTTTATCAACTAAGGTGATTAAGACGTATATTTCTCATGTCTAACCTCTACCTACTATTATTGTTCGATGGTAGTTAATATTACTATAGGCTGTGGAAAAGCTGTGGCGCCCAGATCAAAGCATGGTGCGGGTCAGTGAAGTCACTTGTCGCTTGTCTAAACCATATCTTTATGTTCTGTCCACCTGGTTACGGTTCGTGAAATATTCATCATTTATGTTTGTAAACGACGAATAACATAATGTATAATCAGTTCTAGTGTAGTGAACAAGAACATAAGTGGGGGCAATCGAATGTATTTAAGCACGAAATTACAGAATCCCTAAGTAAAATCTGAGAACCATACAGTAAATTCTTCATTTACAAAATATCAATCAATCGTCTCAGACTTCACTGTTCCTTCGTATCTACACCAATCACTCTCTGTTCATGTTATTTCCTCTTCGATCTTCTTAACCTCCAACTAGCAGAGATTTCACTTTCGATTAGTGATACATACTACTTATATCTGCCGGTATCAGTAACACACACCACATCATTATCATATTATTTAAAGATAAAATTATTGAGGAAATCAACTGAAATAATATTCTTTATTGAATTTAATGTCTTCAAAATAGTAACATGCATAGTAAAACACGCATTCTAATTCGGTTACTGTCAATGACTAGATTATACTCTAGTGGTTATCACTTTGCTTTGTCGACATTTTTGAACCATCTTATGTTATTGGAATAGATTAACATCAATCTTATTTATTCTAAAGCTGATTGAGAGAAATTCCAGTTTCTGAGGGAAATTAAGGCTTATTGACACTAACAATGCTTTAATTTTAAGAATATTGAAATTATGAAGTTTTCGTGAAAGCTGTACAATTGATTACTTCCAACCTTCAATCCTTAAAATAAATTGATTTTAGTCTTCAAATTGTTGAACTCAAAGTTATAATCACTTTTGTTTAGGAGATAAAAATTCATAATCCATATGAAAGTTTAATCAGTTTACTTGTTTTAATAATATATTATCCGTCTATAAAAAACTGATTATATGACGGTAACTTATCTGCTTTAGTAAACACCATTTAAGTTTAGTTAACTGGGCTATTTTCAGTTGTAGAGCTGTGGAGATTATTGAATTTCATTGAAATCATGAACTGATCAAAGTTGGGTCACAGTCGAGAACCTGGAAGGACTGTATGGCTGTTTTTTTCTAGTACGAGCCTCTTTAGCTTTGAGAAGTAGTGACTAGTAGAGTTAATTTGTGTCGGTTGTGAGGCAGTCACACACCGAAGACAATGCAAGGTGATCACGCAATGTCGTTAGCTGGGATATTGCTTTCACTCAGTTTGACTTTCGCACCACAAAAATAGACTGTTCATGTTTAACTTATTGTTAACCATGTTATAAACACGTAGATTGTAACTTGAATGTCATGTACTCGAGAAATAATAGCTGATTTTCTGTTTTTTGTCCACAGACTTTGCGTTCTTGGTGTATTTGATTCAAATGTTCTAAGACTATTATTCAGTGGATCTGTTAAACCGACTGATCTTGTTGTCAAAGCGATGAATAAAAATTATCGACAAGTAAGTTTCTAAAGCACATGTTATGTCATCAAGCTTTGAGTCTATATTATCTTAATCAGTATCACATGTGTTTCCGTACATGCTGAGTTTCTCTGACGAATTTACGTGAAATGATATTACATTCAGTGCATAAATCACAAAACGTTCCATAGAATAACTCCTGTGAACAACTACTTACAGATAGAATTACGATTGAGTTTCTGAAAAACCAATACATAGAATAAAGAATGACTTGAATACCGTACAGTTAGAATTTAAAAGACGACACAACACGCTGCAGTTTAGAGGCTGATATGATGTTGTTGACTGACTTACAGATCGAGTTCATATGAACACTTAAGTGGTTATCTCATTGTATGTATACGTCTGAACTAGTTATCAATATATTCCATACATAATTTATATGTTCAAAAGATTATTAATTAGTACAAAAACAATTGTCTTGTTGAAAGTTTAAAACATCAAAATACATAAAAATAAGAAAAAGATATACTTGAAAGATGTTTCTGAAGAACAGTTAGGTTATTTATTGATATCTATAGTGTTTAGTCTATAGAATAGATTTCCATGTTTTTGAAATCATTATATATGTTTCATGACATACTTTCTATTTGAAATATACCATGATATGACATGCATAGTTATGTATTTTCTGTTCAAATACATACACATTATGGTATTCATGATTAAGTCCTATTTTTATTTAAGCTTGAATAAGTTATCTCATCTGCGGGATTGCGTAGATTCCTTTTCCTATTGAAGATATCTCTCAATTGCTCTTACATTGGAGATAATCAAAATGTACAAAACAATATATACTAATCAAAATTGTGCTTTTTAAGGATTAATGTACAATGAAGAACTGATCTTGGCGAGATCACCATTGAAAACTTAGAAACACAGGATACACGTATTGTTCTAGTATGGAACTCCCCGACAGTGCTTATTCACGACCCCGCAGCCAGAAATCAAACCCAAGATCTTTTGTTTCACATGTGAACGCTTAACATCTAGACCACTGAGCAGGTATCCAACGGTGTTAATGTCTTGCTTCAACCAATTTAAAACCTTTAGCAATTCTCATCCGTTGCTTGGATTGGATAACCGTCTTCCATCCGGCATAGATTCAACTCCATAGGTTACAGCATCTCACTAGAACTCCGGTTGCATCTTAATACTGCTCACTAATGCAATAGTCTCATACTGAGACGAAACTGCCGCTCAGTGCTACCAGGTTTTTAGTGATGGTCTAATCAAGATCAGTACATAATTTAAACTATGAAAATTTTACAATCTTCACAAAAGTCCCTATATTGATAATCACCAATGCGGTTGGATTTAATTACTCTTTCAAGAAACCAACAATTTTGTCTTATCATTCCCTCCTTTACAAAAAGACCTTAAAACTATATTTCTGGGTCAACACTGCTAATTTATTTATTTCTAACAAAACATTATGTTATCTGACGAATCTACTTGTTTTTTTGAAATTATTAATTCAGGTTGAGGAAGTACATGGGCTTGATCGTGTTTCTCGCGAACTCACCATTGAATCATATGTCGTTCTGTGGAATAAAGAAAGTAAGGTGAAACCTTTCCAGTGATTATGTATAATTTTGTTTTCAGTGTATGATTTTATTGTTGTCTGTTAATCACTTTTCAATCTTCTTTTCCATTTCGTTTACCTCGAGCCAGTAAGTCAAGAATTTTTTGACAACGCTCCTATCAAAGTATTTGATTCTTGACAAATTTTGCACATATTTTGTTTCTACTCACGAATGTGTAGAAAGTTCAGTGCTCTGCAAACATAAATCGGAATACATTGAATTAAAACTCAACAATTACCACAAACATATACTGATAATTATCATGTGCTCACTAGTGACCAGCTTCAAAAGGTGATTCTCGAAGTACTAGTGAGAGTCTGTGACCAGTGGAGTTTAGACGTGCTGGGTATGAGACAGTTACCAATGAAGACAATGAAGGATGATCGCACAATATCGTATATTGATTAAAGTCAGACATTAACAGCGCTGGATACTGGCTGAGTGGTCTAAAGGCTAAGCGTTTGCACACAAAACCGAAGATCCTGGGTTTGAGTCACGCGTGAGGAGATCGCGGATATACACTGCTGAGGAGTCACATACTAGGAAGAAATGGCTGCCTAATGCTTGCAGGTTTTCAATGGTGGTCTGACACTAATCGGTTCATGAGCTCAATTTAAACCCAAAAATTTTGCCAGCCTTATGATGATGTTTAAAAATGTCAAATCATAATTTTCCTAAAGCACCGTACTGACTCATCACCTAAATCCGATACGAAACCGCCTCTTCAATCGACTTCAACGTAAAGCATACGAGTCAGTGTTTAAATTTCACCAGAAGTAGTGTAACGCGTATATCAGTGAGTCATCTACAAGGTGTTGTATAATACACGGTTGATTTAACTACCTAATGTTTCATTGATTAGACACCTGGCTGTAATTAACTAAGTTTCATGTTTGATTAAATGAGGTACATCTCAGTAAACTCAATAGTACTCTCTAGTTGTAGTATAATCAACAACTTTAGATTCGCTGCATGGAAAATTTATTCCTGCTCTATAATAATAACTACAAAGTTCTTACTTCATAACATCGTATCTGATACAGTCTCATTGATAGTGGATTAGCAATTGCCAAACACTCTTTTTATTGACTGCTTCAAATCCACATGTTTCATAAACAATTATCTACTTGTTTACATTTTTTCTGTTTAAACCTAGACCCTTATTTAGTATGTCGTGAAGATTTTCTTCATTGGTCCCTATTTAAACAGTAGTGAGTTTTTTCATGAAGAAAAAGCACAAGTAAACAATACTAAATCAACCTGTTTATCTTCGAATTCATTTTTACCCAGCTTCTTTTATAGAAATAAATAGCTTAGAGATAAAAAAATGTTTTATTGAGAACATTAAATAAACTGTTGTAGTTAAACAGCGTTTGTTTATTTGAGGTTAGATCAATGTTCAATTATTGAAGAAGTAGGGAATGTACGCGCATATATACAAATGGTCTTCCATTTTAACCGCTTGTTATAGGTTACACTGTAATATGGACAAGTCACTATTCGGAAGTGATTGTTACATCTTGTTGTTTGGTATTTAAAAACATATTAAAATGATGGATTTGATTTAAAAAGTGTGATTTATTTAGGTAATGAAAATGGTTCAAATCAACTTGATCTTCTCATTACAAAATTGAAGTTTTTAAAAGGTACCAAATGTTCTAATAGTAAGTATATCATTAATCAAAACGGATTAATAGTTGTTACGATTAATATGAAAAGTGCGGTATATTGAGGAATCATCTTTCATTTATTCCATGTAATTCTATCGTCACCATCATTTTTTTCTGAGACTTCTTTATAAATCCATTTCTAAAGGAAAAACATCTACCCTGTTGATAATCACTAGTATTTGTTTCTTGACAATAAATTGGCAACAATGGGACGTATGACCAAAGAATTATAAATTGAGAGTGCAGAAGATGTTATACTACTTAGAGTGGTGATTGTACAATTGAGATGATGGATAGATTTCAAAACAAAAATAAACGTCTGGAAAAGCATCAGTGATGAACTTTGTACTCATTCTTATTTATTTCTACCATGGATATCTCGTTAAATATTCCATTAAATAGTGTGAATGTGAATATCTCTTTCAATATAATTAAATTTTGATGAAAAGAGTAAGTGTAGACACAGAAAATCCTGAAGATAGCTTTTAACTATTTGAAGGAGTTTTCATGTTAATTAATCTGAAGTTCAAATGACTTCATGAATGCTTACATGATAAATAACGGTAATAGCGATATTAAGTTGAAGTATTTCAGCTGTCTTTTTTATTTGTATGCTATTCACTGTGTAATTCTGTATACATGGCTTTCCAGTGATTTATCTTAATGTCAAAACGTGATGATTCTCCATCGTAAGCTAGGAAATGAAAATCTAAGTTTACAGAAGTACAGAAATCTATTCAGGTTTGAACGGAGTGAAATTCATAGGTTCACAGATTTCTGGCCTGTTAATAACCACGTAAATTAGAATAAAAATACGGCGATTTACTCACCTGATGACATAAAAAAAATCATCGGTGAGGCTAAATACTTATGTACATGAAAGTGAGATTTAAATATGTGGTAAAGGATTGTAATTAAATTAATTGTGTTATGTTGGGGTGATCCAGAAAACTTCTTGCAAAAGACAAGAAAGGCTCGGGAAACACTAAGGAGCATTTTGTCCAATCAGCATTCACTAGAAGTGTAGCCAGAAGCATCAAGAAAGTGGAAAGTCACATGTAGAGTTTCTGATTTGCTGATTACTATTTGCTACTATGTTTAGTAGCATTCCAGAATCTTCGGGAAACCTAAGGACTTCTAAAATACTATAAAAACCATATATTTTCTGTACTAGAACGAACCTTTGGAGTAAAGTACTTCTCGCATATTTTGCGCCTTTTCTCTCGTGTTCAGGTCGTGGTGTAGTTCTAGTTTGGGGGTTACGAGAATAGCTTAGGAACCGAATATAGCGTTCAATCAGCAAGACTTATCATTTAAACTACAATGTATTATTAGGTCATAAACTATAAACTAGGAAGTCTTCTACTTGTCAGCTAATTAAAGTGCTGCACCTAGAAGAACTAGGAATAATTGAGACATTAAGACCTCCCATTATTATAAGTGTTTCATAGTCTATGAGAACTGCTTGGTCCTCCCATTATCAGATTATTGTAGCAGATGTTAGCGTTAAGCTTTTTATATACAACGTTTTTGAGTCGCACCACAGTAATTGGAAATTTGATGGAGGACCTTACAGATACATTCAAAGAAGAAAATGTTTTAGTGTATTACCAAGATGAAGGTGACTGTGGAAATGAGATGTACTTGAATTAATGTACTAAGCATTTTCGGAATATTGATATTTAAGGCAGATAAAGCTTGGTGAGCGAGACTGAACGTATTATACTTGTATTTCGTAATAAGCGCGCAATGAAGTACAAAACAACCATCGCTTAGTACAAGTATCACAGTAATCCAACGTATTTCACTGTTTTCCATGTTTCTGCATAGCAATAACATAACCAAGTCCTAGTCAGTAAGTTTGAAAGAAACGTCTTGTTTCTGTTGTCTTCATAAGATGACCAATATTTTGACTACTCATTTATTTTGCTGGGTGGACTTGATAAATTCGTATATAAGCATTTGATAATTCCAACTTAGAGATGGTTTATCCACATCACCACTCTGTTAGCTAGAAATAGTTTAAATAAACCCATGCTGTGCTTTGCAGTTAAAAAGTAACTACGGTTCGCACCGTGAACAGTCGGAGTCTAGGGACTTTCACATTTCTTAACCTACTGTCTCACCTTCAGAGTTAGTTTTTTTAACTGTCTTTTGAAATTCCACTTCTGCATGTCACAAAATATCCTAAGGGTTCGAGTTTCTTGACCAATTATACCACTTCCTGCGGGGAATGTTTCATGAAATTCGTTTTGGGTATTCTTAACTAAGTTAATCTTTGAGTACGGTGCGTACGGAGAATTTATCATGACTCCTTCATTTTTGTAAGTATTTCTTTCAACATTATTCTGTTGATTGTGTCTTAAAGCTACAGAGGAGTTTTGAGTAGTCTTTCAGGTTTATGTTGGAAAAAATAACTACTACCGTCCATTCGATTTCCAGGTTTTTAGCTATATTGTGCTAGAAAGAGCTTGTAGCTAGTCGACAAACTGATGTTTGTTATGTTGAAAAGATGTTCCTAATTCTTAGAAGCTATCTTAGTAATTATATTAGAGTTAATAATCATGTCATTTGATGGACGTCTTCTGATATTCGGTCTTTCAGTAGTTGAGGTTAGGTTTTACCTCTTTCCCAATTGTTTAATGTTTTCTCAATAACCTTTCGCGATAGTAGCGTTGTGTCTGTAGGCGTTACGCTAAAGGACAATAAACGGCTGACTGTAACAAGGAGCATCGATGTAATCGCAACACTGCTTTACAATAAATAAGGTCCAGTTCTGGATAGTTTGTTCAGTCTTTGCTAATATTGCACAAACCGATTAAGTTAAAGATTACCGAGCCTATCGTGTAGCAGCTGTTGTGAGGTCAGAGCGATCTTCTTAAAATCAGTTGTCCCACTTACTACGCAGGTGAATGATTTATGTGGCGCATATCTATTTGGTGCATCCTTGTACCAATGTTTATGTGTTTAAATAAATAAAAATAGATGAAACAAAAAAGCAACCTATTGAAATTTATTCTCAGAATAGGTTTTCTCAAGAAAAGTACTACTTTAATCAAATCGGATTACTTCAAAGTTTAGAAGAAATCTGAACCATTACTTCCGACTTATATAGTACGAAGAAATTGACTGTCTTTACCTGAACTGCAGACGGAAACTAGATCTTATAAACTTTTAAAAAATAAATCGTAACGGATAATATATCGGTCAACTCATTTTCAACAGCCTAGATGGATACTGTTTAATACGGTGTTTCGAAATAAAAATTGAAGGTTTTTCAACCTAGGACACATGTTGTACCGACCTCTCAAAGCCTGACTTACAACTTGCGGATGACTCTCGAATTCACTCACACTGATCCTGTCATATTCAATGGTCGTGGTGCTTTTATTCACTGACTGTTTAGTGCATACACGTCACGGTGCTTGTGGTAGCGGTGCTTTAATTTTCTGAACTTTCTATCAAGAGTTTTAAAATTGTTTTGGCTACCGTTAGCACTATAAATAACATGATCGACAAGTATAACAGTTCCGTCAAGGTTGTAGTGTCAGTTATTATGGCAAGCCCATGTACCTTATTCTAACTTCCGGACATCCTATTTTATTCATTTTACTTGAGCCATATTTTGACCTTGTCAATTATTCGCTTATTAGCCGTGACTGTTTTCACATGAGCGTATGTGTGTACATTTCATGTCATATGATTCATCATATGTCTGTAGCTTATTTTGTCTGCCTATAAATACTGAGTAACGCTTAATTAAAATGGAGTTGGCTTCCCAGTCATCTTCCCTGCGCGTCATTTCGTTTTGTTCTATCGCATTCACTTTACATACAAAATATATGTATTCAAATGCCATTCTCGTTAATTGACTTATTTAATTCCGTTATGGACTAACGCTATTTAAGTCGACTATTATAAACGAGAATCAGCGATAGCAACCATTCGTACAATCTAAATAGGAGTCAGATCACGGGTTACTTCAAGGTAATGTCAAATTGTGTTGTAAGTTGGAAAACGTTATGTCAATGTTATGTGTAATGAAGTAAGATTCCCATGGTAAACAGTGAATGAGTTTCAATGCGCTTTCATATTTGTTGATTAAACTGCCTAAGCTGGTACATTATTGCAACTTTAGAGTTTGCGGTATCTTGTACAATGTCATGTCCGATTTGTTCTGTAGTGGATCAAAAATATATCGATTCCAACTTAATGTATTTATATAATCAATATCATCTATACACAAGAGAAAACTACACAGGACTGGAGCGGTAGGTTAGATAGCCCAATAAGGATGTATGGTAAGGCCTTCTTTTCTATTGTGGGAAGTAAGATTAAGGATTATGTGGAACACTTCAACTACTCTCCTTTCTTTATAGTTCGAAAATTCTTGTTGTAATATTTTTATGTTTTTGAAATCGATTTGGTGGTCGTCGAAAATGGTGTGAACTGCTATTGTCGATTTAATTTGAAGTTTATCCAGTTCTACGGGATTATTAGGAAGTTTCTTTGTGTACCTAAGATGTTCTTTAGCTCGAGTCTAGATTTCGCGAGATCATTCTTCAATAAAGAAGGCATCACAATTAACACAACCTAATTTGTAGACAAAGATCTGTGTTGAGATAAATAGGAGTTTTCCTTTTAAGCGAGCCAAAGTATTCCGAATGACATTTTATTTTTGAAACTCATTTCCATATTCAAATTTTCTAAACTACAATTTTTGATTATTTTAAACAAATGACATTGAATTCGTTTGGTGTTGTTTTACTTGTATCTTCCAATTGTTATTCAGCACTGCAATTGATCAGTCTCATGTTGAACATCAACTCTGGGATGTAGGTACATCCAGCTGATGGGTCCTAAATAGGACGAAACACGCGTCAAACTGGATTCTACTGCTAGCCACTATCCATCTTTACCTAAATGACATTGTAGCGGTAAATAAATCCCCAAAATAAATAGCTCTGTAAGTTTTCGACATTGGATGCTGACCATATGTTTTAGTGGACTCATCTAGCTGAAGGCGCTCGGTCATGCATTCGCACCAGATCACGTGTGGTAACGCTGTACTCCGCATCTACCGCAATCGCTAGCCAGATTAGATCAGATAATTCCGATATATTGGTGATCGCCAAATACACTCTTCCGATCTCCTCGACTCTGTCTTTTGATTTCTCTGGGTGGTTACGAAATATATTAGAAGGTGTTACTGGTAGAAGCGTTGTCGAACACTGAATACCTGTGTCATCCTCATGGGTGAGACCGACGTGATCTGGTACACCGAATTGCAACTGTCTGTTCCTTTTTCGGATTTTTATATATCATTGCCTTATTTTTTATTTTTTAAACATTGTGATTTTTTTCTTGGATATATATATTTTTCCCCTCCTTCATTATCGTACTTCATATTTCATCATGACTGAACAGACACCCAAAGTACTCAAGCTTAAGACTTTGTCCCCACCTTCGTTTCAACTGATGCCTTTCTGGCCCGACAATATCGAAGCCTGGTTCTGCTACGCAGAAGCCGACTTCTCCGAGCACGGAGTGATCGACACACGTGCACAATTCCTCGCAGTAGTCAAGGCACTACCGAGAGAATTCAACAGGTACGTAACACCTAGTATGTTTACTAGTGATGTTTCTGAACCTTACGAAACCTTAAAACGTTCGATTCTTAAAAGAGGAGACCTTACCGATCGACAAAGGTTAGATCAACTATTCAATAACATAGATCTGAAACGCAGTTCTGCGATAGACATGTTGCAAAGGATGAGAGAGGTTATAGGCCTAAGAACTTTCGACGAAGGTCTATTCAAACAACTCTTCTTGTCAAAACTTCCCCAACAGGTGCAAGCGGTTCTGGCCTCGTTTCAGAACAACGCCTTAGACGAACTGGCTGCATCTGCCGATCGTATCTTAGAAATTACGAAACGTTCTACTACCAAGGTATTTTCAGTCAAAGAAAAGCCTCACACAACTCAGAATGACATAACCGAGTTATGTCACACACTCACGCGTTATCTTATTCTTCGTAACGACCGTAATCGCTCGCACCCCTCACGTAGAAGCATTTCACGTAAGCGATCTGTCTCTAGACCACGAGAGACGGATAACCCCGACTGGTGCTGTTATCATAACCAGTATGGAAAGTCTTCCAGAAATTGCAGAAAACCCTGCAATTTTCCCAACACGAAACCGACTGACTCGAACAACAACTCGGGAAACTTCCAAGCCGGCACGCGTTAACGGCAACTGTAGCCGGCGAACATAGCCGTTTGTTATACGCCACAGATGTGACAACGAGAGTTCGCTACCTCGTCGACACTGGAGCAGAAGTTAGCGTTCTCCCAGCAAATCCTAACGACCGGTTTCACGAATCGACCCTAAACCTACAGGCGGCAAACGGAAAACCGATCGCTACGTATGGCAAAAGGTACGTTTACCTTAACGTGGGTTTACGCAAACCCATTCACTGGATCTTCGATGTTGCAGATGTTTCTATGCCAATCACTGGTATGGATCTTCTACAACACCATAATCTGATCATCGACACGCGCAAACGGAGGCTAGTAGACGGAAACACTAATTTATCCGTTTGCGTAACTTCTTTTACTGGTT